AGGGCAAAAAGTATTAGGCAGGATTAAATGGTCTTGCAGGCAGAGATCAGGGAATTTAGACAAGAGAAAGCAGGTGAATCTTTAGTTGGTGGTATGAATTTTTCTTATTCTGTATTCTCCTAAGAATATTAGCTCCTTCATAAATTCATGCATTTGACTAACATTCTATGCTTTTGAAAAGCAGTTTCAGCTTTCTGTACTGGAAATCTGTGGCTAACTATTATGGTTTAATTAAGTTATAGAAATGAAGTCATTTAACCAGTACCAAAAGTTAACTAACTGTTCATTCCTAGCGCATCTATTTATAATTCAGGAAAAAAATGCTATAAAGACTATTTTCATTCTGTTCTGCAAATAATTGATTTGTGTTCTGGAGGCATGGTCATGAGCACATGAAGGAGCTTGTATTCAGTAACACAGCAGAAGTAATACTGGACAAAAACACTACAAAGTAGCCAGCTCAAAACTTGTAAGTGCAGGTGATTTTAATATATTGAATTTGGATGTTTTGTTGATTTTTATTGAAGAGTGTTTTCTGTCTCCTAGCAGATTGCTACTTACCAGCTGTCACCTATGTTATTGCCATATATAATTTTCTAGTGAATAGTAAGCTTCAGTAGAAACTAACCTCTACTGCATTGTAGCTATTTTACAATCCTATGACATATGAATGTAAAATAGTTGGCTGTAATGTAAAATAGCTGAAATATTTTTGATTTTGAGGTAAGTCATATCAAGGTCTACAGAGAAACAAATTCAAACTGAAGTAAAAAAAATTTATGAATCTTAAGCACTTCCCAATGTGTTCTTAGTTACACTAGGCTGTTGAAGCCGTAATATTTTCTATCATTTGAGCAATGGTCCAGATTTTCAGACTTCTAGCTACACTGGAGAGCTATATTTGCAGAATTAATATTAGCAATGAATTTTAGTATAACTGAAAGTAAATATATAGCTTATATTCAGCAGCAAAATGAAACTGAAGGTAACGGTGAGTTACTATGCAAGATTAATTCCAGGAATGTAATCTTTAAAGATTCTTTGTCAGATTGATTTAGGCAGGCACAGCTTGCTATTCTGAAGCATGCATCTCTATTTCAATAAAAATGTAGGGGAATAAAGTTGGCAAGAGGCAACACTAATTCCATGCCACCACCCTAAAACAGAATTGCTTCAGAATATTCGGAAAGACTGATAGTTGAAAGGAACAAAGGCTGCAGAAAAAGCTCAAGCACATAGTTACAACAATAACAAAGCAATTCATCTATGCCATGCAAGCACTTAGGTGTAAGGCTAAAAACAACAGAGTAGAACACAAAAAGTTGTTTTAAATGTGCAGTATCAGTTCCCCTTTCGATAGTCAAATTTGCTAGATTTTTGTCTTCACCCCCACTATCAGCTGGCAGCCACCACACCAATAGCAAGTGGCTCCCTCCAGTGACAAAGCTAATGCTGCTTCTCGGGTCATGCTGAACAGCAGTGCAGCCAGCATGCTCTTTCTCCCCTAGAGACTGAGAGCATCACCTTCAGAAAGGGATCAGCCTCCACCAGCATCGGGCCTGGGATCTTGAGTCTGCTTCCAAACCTGAGCCTGATCAGTCTTGAAAGCTGCTGTAACACTACAAAAGTACAATAAACTACAGAAAATACCAGATGATTACAATGGATCTGCATCTTGGATGTCTAAACATATATATATATATATCTCCTGGGTGTGGCTGACACCATGCAACAGATCCTGCACCTTTAAAACTTGAAAAAGCAAGTAAAAAACAGTCACTTAAACCTACACTACAGCATATTAATTGAAATGTATATATTGAAAAAAGGCTAAATATATATATTAGTATATATATATTTAAAAAGTGATATAACCAAATATTTGACATGTCATTTATAGCACGTAAGAATGAGTAATATACGTGCCTTGTAGTTCTTGCAAACATATTAATATCATTGGAATTTAAATATCCGTTTACTTGAGCCATATTTGTATCTCAATCATACTGGCATAAATCAGAACTCATTCCATTTTCTACTGACTATGAAATTGTCAGTTAAACTAGTATAACTGGGATAATTTGGCCTCTTGCTTTATCAATTTAGCAACAATGTTACTTTTAATCTGGCAAGTAAAATTTTTTAGTTTCCTCCCATAAGTATTCAACATATACAAGTATATAAGCTAAAATGTGGTGTACGTTGTCAAGCTTAATTAGTACAAAACATGTTATTTTGCTGAATGCATTGAAATCAGACTAAGTTTGGCATATTTTGCTGAATGACTTGAAATCAAGACTAAGTTTAGGTGTAATAAGGTATTTTTTTCAAGCAAGCAAATAAACACAAAATATATCTTCCTCTTTTTCTTTTTATCTCAGGAAGTTGCAGTATCAGTCCTATCTGTATTGTCTAGCCTAACAGGATATAATGCTCTCTATATTAATTATTATTATTATCTGTTGTCCTTTAATGATATTACAACTTCAAATTTTAATAATTATATTTCTTTGGTTCCTAACCATCTGTAAAACCCAAAATGCACCGAGAATAGCATATTGCCAAGTATCACACTGACCGCCAGCTGGAGGGACAACTTGATCAAGTAATTTCATGCTGGTTTTCTTCCATATTTTCTTTATAACTGCTCTAAGTTCTTCATTTGCTTGCTCTAGGTTACCTGTGGCAATGAAATAGAAAAATGGAGAATGGAAATTATGTTTCAACCAGCTGCTATGAATGATCCTTTGGGTATTACTAGCTGCATACAGATAAAGACTGTGATAAGGATCTTTTGCAGCAGCCTATGCTACCTAAATATATATATAAATAATATGACAATAATTAAAGAGAAGAAATGGTATAAGAAAGTGAACTCCTATGGAATTATCAGATTAGTCTCTGGAGTACTGCAAAGGTCAGCAGTGAGCTACAAATCTTGACTCTACTCTGTAACTGATTAATACTTGCCGCCTAAATTGTGCATAAAGTGGTGACTTGCTCTTTGTAAGCCACTGTGTTCCTGATCCAAAGCCAAGCCTTTATTTGTTTAATCACAGTAATTACTAACTTGTACAGGCTTGCAAGTTCTGGCAACTGACTACTGAGGAAAGATTTTCTGCTTTGCATCACCTAAGGCACAGGGATGCCTGGGGGAGTTATTCTAATCAGTTTGTTACTGGCTGTGGAACACAAAATCTGCTGAGAATAGCAGAAGACAGGAAACATAAAATAGTAAAAGATAGTAAAATAATGAAAAAATATAAAATGATAGAAAGTAAAATTCTTTGAAACATAGCACTGTTTTTTAAAATTTCTCACTCTTTGATGCAAATGATAGAAGCCTATCCAATTCTGTCAGAACCGGCTTCCACGAAACAGGGGATTTAGCTTTCAAGTGTGAAAAGTTGCAGTCCCACTAATGCTGGGATCTCAAGCTAATAAGTTAAACAGCAGTAAGGAAGGAACATATTGGTTGGACAAAGAGGGGACTTCATTCATTCCTTGCAGTAGAACTCCTGTTATGCCACTGTTAAATGTTTCATCTGATCAGGTAAAAGCATGTAATAACTTCTGAGTAACCTCTTCCGTTCATTTTCTAATCAACTATTCCCAGCAACAGTGAAGACAACCCATAATCCAAAAGCAAACCAAATCCAGTGAAATGAAGGCATTCGTACTCATGTCCAACAAAATGAAGGAAGTAAATTACAGCTTCTCCTCATTACGCCTTTTGACAAGTGCAGTAAAGGCTGCACAGATAAGAACCTTACCTTCTGTTTTGATCTTTAGAGCAGTCCTAACTAAAGCAAACAAAGTAGCATTGAACATGACGGTTCCATCACTGTTTAGTGGCATATTCATGGCTACTAACCTCTGTAAAGGAGAAAAGGAAAACAAATTTTGATGTGGTTTTGTTAGAAAAAATCTCCTGCCATGTTCATTCCTGAAAAGCTGATGTGTTCAAAGAATAACATCCAGTGAGAGGCCTAATAATTATGTAACTCTTCAAAAAAAGGATAGGATAGGTCTTCCATTGCAGCTGCCTACAATATCCACCTCATATCACTTATCTCTCTTCTGATCACAGGGATGCTTTACAAAAGATAAAATTGTCCAGTAGTTTTCATGAGCTTTATTGAGTTAGTCTGCAAACTTGAAGCACAGTCACCCAGTGTTAGGGACATATGTAGTTATAGCACTGCAAATGTGTATATTCTGGATTTTACTGCCTGCTATGTGCCAGATGCCACCTACCCTGCACTGAGCTAAAGGACTTTTTTTTTTTTTTTTTTTTTTTTCCAGAAACGCATTAAAATGAAGGCATGACAAAGGCACATGCCAAGATACCTACACTAACCTCATTTAGCCTATGGGTGGTAGCAGCCACAGAGCAAATAAACTAAAGTACAATTATTCTTCACCTGAATTACACATTGTGCCTGACAAATTATAGTTTACTTTAAACTCCCTTTAATTTTCAGCCGTCTTGCTCACTGCTACATATTGCTTTGCGCAGTATTTCACTACTACTTATTGTTATCATCTTGCAATCCCCATCCTTCAATCTCAGGCATATGCTTCATGGGCAGCAAAATTCTCATGATTGTGACTACAGAAGTACTGTTTCAGAATGTAATTGTGAGGCTTATAGGACCAGCGCTGGATTGAGGCAGTTCACAGATGTGACAGTAAGGAAGTAGTGACAGATTTACAGACCACCTCCTTTCATTTTGACACTCCGTAAAGGATTTTAAGTTGGGGATAACTACTCAAATGAGCACAGTGAAAGAAACGATACTAGTTTTAGTGGGTTAAGTTCAGCCTCTATAAAACTGGAAAAACTCGAGAGTGAGTCACTAGATAGTATTACTGTATAAATGCAATACATATTTGGCAGAATTATGAACTATGAAATAAACCTAGAAGGGGAATAGAGTAAAACTTACCTTGCAGGCCACTCGGTGAGGGCATAATTTGCCAAAACCAAGTGGGGGCTGAATGCGTCTCAGTAATGTCACCACATCAAGATGCTTTATTCTTCCCCTAGAACCAATACATGTCAATTATCAAATACACATGCATTCCCAAAGAATATACTATGTTCTGCTTTTATTATTACAAAAAAAAAATCTTATCAGAGAAGTGATCTAACTTACTTTGCTTCAGGATCATATTCTGACCATATCCTTTTGAACTCATCCAAATGATGGGGACCCAAAATAGACCAATCACGTGTCAAATAGTCAAAGTTATCCATAATGACAGCCACAAATAAATTGATAATCTAAGAAAGCAAATGAGAACACAGATTTACCTTCCTTCTTCTGAAATATAAACATTTTCATAATTTAAATTATAAAGTAGCAGGTTTAGAATTCAAGTAATCAAACAAATTGATCTTACAAATAATGCTTTTTGGCAAATATCATCAACTACCACAAAAAATACTCGCTGATCATTTAAATGACTAACTGGTATTCAAGTATTCACATGACAAGAATGTTATTCTGTCATATAGCGTTTCAGCCTTTGACATAGGCTATAACATGGTTTTGTTTCTGTTCCTTGATTTGCTGGGCCAGACTACATTAAGCTAAAAGACTGGAACAAAAACATATATCCAACACACAGGAAACAACCTTTTGTACTAACAGAATTCCATGATGTGACAATAAGAATTCTGCATATGTTTTGTTAAAAGATATTACAGAATTAATATTAAGATATTAAATAATTCTAATATTACCAGTAGGTCAAAGGATCTGCTGTTTCATTGTTAATGAATATTTAATGATGTTATTCAGAAAGGCCTGAAATAATGGCTGGTGAATATACTGTTAAATTAGCTTTCCACTGTGCAAACAACCATTCCTGCATATATGGAGGCTTGTAGTCAGAAGAATATCTTGCACATGAGACATTACTGGCATTTAGCAAGAGCTACAGCATTTAGGCATGCATATGAAAAATATGACCTTGCAAAAATTATTTAGATAAGGGACTTGCACTTATTCTCTGGCCCCACTACTTTGTTAATTCATCAAAAAGTCAAAATGCTAAAACTCCTTTCTACTAATAAGCACAAGCTGGACTCACCAAAAATGCACAAAGCATGTAAAAACTAATAAAATAAATGATGGCAAAATTGCTTCCACATGTGTATTCTTCCCCTGGATTATAATCAGATTCTGGATCACAGCGTTTCCCAGGCAAACATGCCAGCATGATTTCCTGCCAGGCTTCTCCAGTTGCACACCTTCATAAGGTCACAAAGAGAAATTAAGTATTATTAGCTCAAAACGAACTAAAGATGCATTAATTTGTTATGTTCTGACAAAATGCTTGGAGCTGTACAAGAACTAATGTAAAGACAGATTGTAAATTCCTGAGAGCTGGAACTAATAAAAAAGTACAGAGCGTGTACAAGAGGTGCTCAGCAACAGGACAATGGGCAGAAACTGAAACCCAGGAAGTTCCATCTGAAGCTGAGGAAAAACTTCTTCACTGTGAGGGTGACAGAGCACCGGCACAGGTTGCCCAGAGAGGTAGTGGAGTCTCCTTCCCTGGAGATATTCAAAACCCGTCTGGATGTGATCCTGGGAAATATGCTCTAGAGGTCCCTGCTTGAGCAGGGAGGTTGGACTAGATGATCTCCAGAGGTCCCTTCCAACCTACACGATTCTGTGATTCTGTGTTTCAGAAATCACAAGCTTAGATTTAACATTGTAGACCCATTTTACAGGGTGCATCAGAAAGGTGTAAAAACTGAACCCAAAACTGTCATTTTCAAGTTACATACTTATAGCAGTTGCGTACTGCTGCGCAAGTGTACTTGCTGCGTACAAAAATCTGTAATAGAAGTTAAAAGTACTTGTTTGCAAAAGAGGAAACTGCCATCTCCTCTATATGGTTGAGGAAAAGCTTGTCTAACTTTCTGCTATTGCGCTATTGCATAGTTGGGTAATGCTTGTGTAAGGACCAATGATTTCAAATATTTAAAAAACAACCTCATACCTATGACATTTCTGGCTGTGTTCATTACCTAATTTCAAAGTCATGGCAAAAGTCTTTACAGGCATAAAGTGACCTTACATGCATAAAGATCCCACTGGGTGATGCCCTTGGTCTCAGACAAAGAATGACCTTTCAGTTTTGTCAACTAGACCAAGATCAGAGGAGCTGCAAGAAGATGGTTTCTACCACAGCCACTGTCTTCTGGCTATGCCATACTACTGTGACAGACAAAAAAAGCCAATACTTCTTTCTTTTTTAGGACTGGCTACCACAGGTCAGCAGTCTTTAACATCCAGTATCTGCAGCACTGTAGCAGACCACAGATGTTGAACTAATAAAACTGGATTCTCAGTTCATCTTTTCAGTAATGTACTCTCTCCTTTTTCTGTCTTTAGCACATTTTCTGGGGGTAGTCAATCATCTCGTGGAACACGATAGGAAATTTTCTACAAAGACTATGATTTAGGGTTAGTTTATGGCTTTCATTTCACTACCACCATCCCGAAGGTTTGATTCCAAGCTTTTCTGAATTAAATACTGAAACTCAAGGTTGATATCTAATGCAACTTGTAAGTAGTAAAGAAGGGGATTTTAAGCTTACTTAGGAACTGTACTTGTAGCTCAGATTTTTGAGTGATTTAACAGAGGTTAAAAGGTAATTATTAACTGAAATATACAAAGACTGTCTATAAACTATTGACCTGTAACATAATCTGCTAATGCAGATCTCATTCTGCATATCTCATAAACAACAAGATCCTACCCTGGTCATATATACCATGAAGTATTCTATAAAATGTGCATGAACAGAAATCAAATGCTAAAGAAACTTTTGTTCATCTCTGACTGCTTGTGATAAAAAATTCTTAAAATTCAGCTTTGGCTTAAATCTAAGGTGAATGTGGAAGAAATGCAGCCTCTGAGGATAAAATTTGGTTGAGGGTCAGATAACGTGCTGTGCAGTAGGCCTAGATACAACACAGCAGTAATGGGGAAGGCTATGCGACAGAAGCCCCTCTTTCTCCTCCTTCTGCTCCTCCTTGGAATCTGTCCTAGAAATTCAGACTCAGAGAAAGTAAGCAGAGAACTGTGTCAGGCTAGCTGCAGAACTATGAGCACTGTGTTAATGTTCGCTGTACTCATTCTGAGATCTGTACTCTGCCCTATGCCATGCAAACATATCTACTTAATTAGACCTGGCTTTGGTATCTCCATGTAGCCCTGAATTGTATCTGCTATCTTCTGATGTTCTTGCCAAACACATCTGCTGCAAAAGAGGACCTCTCTTCAGGATAGGCTAGTGACAATGCACAGGAAATTAGTGAAGTTACACAGTCCCTGCAAAGAGGGCTCTCAAGGTTCTCACCTTTAGATGTATTCCTGATCTAAGTCATTCCCTCTCCTTGCTCCAGGGCATTTTGAAACACTCCTGGCAGATGTCTACCCTGTTCTTAAGCTCTCTGGTGATGGAGAGTCCTTTATCTCCCAAGATGATCTACACAAATACTTAGCTACCCTTACCATGAAAAAGTTTTTCCTACCGCTTCTCTGAAATACCCCTTCAAGTTAAACCCACTATTTCCTGTCATCTTTTCAACAGTTTATTTTCTTCATCTTTGCAACAACCTTTCACGTTTCCAAATCATTCTGCTAGTGTTCATAAAGACACAGTCTTTTTCACCTTTCCTAACAGTTGCACAGTGACATCAGGGCTGACTATATCTGGGCTCTGCAAGAAAACAATTACTCTACAAATAAGATGTTTCACTGTAACTGTAATAACTTTAAGTCTGTATCACCTGGTTAGGATTCGGCTGTCCCAGTGAACTGTCACCACATGGCTGAAGAGATTTTGTACTTGTTACATTAAATTGTTTCTAATTTGCAAACACATTTTCAGCAAATCTGTTGTAAAGAAGCTACAGTCCTTTTCCATTGATCAATTAAAAGGGATGTATTAAGCAAATAATTAAGGTTTGCTCACCTGAAGAGAAGCAGCACGGCTTGGGGGAAAGTCTGAAAATTGTTGTTCCTGTTTATTTGATTGTTGTCCCTCATGGCCACTTTTCCAAATACCTATAATGAGACAGGATTTTGACTTTCATCCTAGTCAGTTGTAATGTCTGATGTGATAACCCTCACTTCAGTGTGTATGAAAAACACTTTCATAAATATACTTTCTACTCTCTTTAGATTTGTCCTGATAATAATGTAAATGCATTAAATATATCATATCTACAAGGTAGCTCTTACGCACTTTATTTGCCACTGCTAATAAACCACTATAATACTAACACACATGCCTGTATTTTAGGTGAGAAAATATTATTTGTTTTAAACTAACACCTAGAGCCCTCAACTCAGAACCCCACTGTGCTAGGCATTGTGCATACTTGTAGTAAGTAACCATCGCTGTCCTGAAAACTTTGAATCTAAATAAACAGAAGAGATACAAAGATGGAAACCAAACACAGAGCATCTGAGCACCTTCTCCCACTCAGAGCTGGGAAGTGAGTTCAGATCTCCAAAATTCAACTGCAATTCCCAGGTCAGAAGACCAGTCTTTCTTTTCTAATAAAACACATTTATCTACTATTACAATACAGTGGAGACTATTATTTAATTTAGAAAGATTAATGTCACTGTGTTCTGGATTGTAAGCTGCTTTCGGATGAAGAGCAAAGAAACAGAAAGAATCAAGAGGCAAAGCCACTCTCCGCAGGATATTTCTTCTCATCCTATTTAATCAGGGCCTCACTTTGTGTTGGTTTGGACAACATTATAACTTGGGCAACAAAAGACATCAGCTGTAACCGTTACAGAACATCCATCCTAAGAGCTTATGACAGGAGAACTGGTGTCATTACGAAAAAGAGAAACGCAGCCTGAATCCAGGACGCCTGTCAGGAACTTTTGCCAACCAAAGTCTTGATGAACTTCCAGCCTTGCTCTTCAGGCACCTCCTTCCCTTAGGCAAACAACAGATCTCATGCGTGGCACAGAGACTGCCATGCACCCACATTGCACTCTACCTCCCAGATCCATACTCAGTGTCTTTTTCTGCTTTCTTTCCTGCAGTCTGTGCACTCCTCTCTCAAATGCCTATCCCATCCTCCCACTTGAAAAGGCCTAGTAGGAATTCTCCCACAGTTTCCTGACAGGTCTCTCCTACCTAGCTATATCTAGTTATTAAGACTGTGGGAACTCGTCCTGCCCTCACAGCACTGCAGCTGGTCTGTGGCACCTTTATCCCAAAAGTACGCTCTTACGTTGCAAGTTACCGAAGTCCCGTCTATGCTTTTACATAAATCCCAGCCTTGACTGACCACAGGCTCAGCTGTGGCTAAATTCTTTAGTCAGATTCTTTTCTTAGTTCTATTCTTTTAATATGGGAAAGTCTTATGAAAAAAATAAAGGCTGCAGTTTTAATGGCTGATTCCCCAAATAAATATTCTGCAGTAAAAAAGCCACGCATTGTCATACATTCATGCACAGGGATAAGATTCACTGTACATGGAAGATGAATGTCTCCTTCCAGCAAACAAAGGCGCTATAAACTCACACCCCATTCTTTTCTTGCATCTTTTTAGTTTTTGTGACTGCCAAAATAACAACCGAGAAAATCTTTTTACATTATTCTGAAAGTTTTGACTGGTATATAGCACCACTATTAACAGAATATTTTGATAAGCAGGTTGATAAACAAGTCTCAGAGCAGCCAACACTGTACTTTCTTTTAAGAGTAAATAAATGTTGTAATTACCTGCATTCCAATGACAGCATAGATGAAGAACAGCATGGCTATCAGAAGGGCAACATAAGGTAGAGCCTAGGAAAGGGACAGGTGCACTGTATTTTAATAATTTCACAGCATCATTTCAATTTCCACTTAGAAAAATTAAGTTTCCTATGCAACAGAGGCTTTTCCAAGATTTTTCTTTTTAAGCAAGAGCTTAAAATGTTATTACTTGTCACTCTTAATATTCTCCCCATATAATGAACACATGAGTTTCATCATATTTTAGATTATTTCTGCCAGTAATCCAGTGGGAAGAGTCATCTTCAGTAGTTTTATATTTTATTTCCATTACTGATTATGACAAAACGGAGGTACTTCCTACTATGCAGTAATACAGTTCCACTAACTTCTCATTCTTTAGAGTTTTTAGGAGCAGAGATTCAAACATCTATTTGCTACATCTATGAGACCACTTTTATACAAACAGAAAATTAAATTCCTTGTTTAATTTCTTTTGTAGCCATGTAAGATCATGTATAACCTATATGTAACCAACCTATCTTTTGTTTAATTTCACCAAAAATCCTTTTTAGACTTACAAAATAACTTTTTTGTGAAGTATTGTAAAAAACTCATGGTAACAGCTAATATTACATGACCCTTGGACTTAGTGAAGCAACTGGTGACGTTTCTTAAGGCATTAATATGTAAATATATTTGAATGTATAACTATTGGTAACACAAATTTCAAAAGAAACGTTATTTGCTTCATAAAATATAGTGTATACATGCTTGCAGTTCAAAAGCAAATTTAAATCATCTTTTCTAACCTGAAATGACTTAATAAATGTCCACAATAAGGTTCGGATTCCTTCTCCTCTGCTAAGCAACTTCACCAACCTCATCACCCGGAAGAGACGGAAAAAAGTGATGGAGATTCTAGCGCTGTCTTCGGAGTTCTGAAGAGTATCATGGAGAAGTCAAACCAAATACAAACCCAAACATGCAACACTTCCAGAAAAACAACATCAAATGCAAAGGTGGAAGAGGTAAGATTTGAAAATGTATCTTGAGGGCCTTTTCACCTTGATAAGCATGATATGAAAGGAAAAATTACATGCTAAAAACACAGGACCTGTAGAAATGCTTCACACATCACATGCATTTCCAAGTTTTCTGGTTTGTTAATAAGGATCATGTTGGGTTCATTTGTAGTAGACTTCAAAAGTACACTGACAACAAATGCAAACCACTGCATACACCTTTCTAGTAAGACAGTTATGAAAAATACAGAAAAATTGGTGGAAAATAGAGACATGGTAAAAAGAATAAACTCAAGTAGAGGTAAAACCACTGGGGTCAGTTTACTAATCTTACCCCAGACTCATCAGTTGTGACTGTTTCAGTTGGCTTTGGCTTTAAGAAATTAAGAACATTAAATATTAAAATCAAATAAAAGACCAAAAAATCAGCTTCACCATAAACAGAAGGAAGTACATTTTCCATTTCTATATGTAAATGAACATTTTTTAACTCAATATACCTTCCAAATAAAACAGTAATATCCTTATTAAAACTTTCCCTTTAGCATTTCATATTGGTTGATTCAAACTAAAACATCGTTGCCTGAATCATCCTAAAAATCTACAAATATAAAACATCTTTAAAAGAGTCACTGTGAACTAAATACAAAATAAAATACCTGCTCCCATGCAAGCCTATCAAAATTAACCATTGACTTCCATTAGATGTAGGAAATTGTAGCATTTTACTTTTAAGTTTTACTTAAGGAGCTAGCAAAGTGTCCACACTTCCTTGTGCACTGAGACATTCACAGTAACTTCCTCCAGATTGAATGGGAAAGTCCTTAAAAACTTTACAGCTCTAGAACAATGGAATTCTGAAGGGTAGATCCAAGTGACAGGCCTAACTCTGTTGCTTAAAATGTTCCTATCACCCTTTGAAAGTGTCACCTTTCAACAATTATTGTCACATATAGCTGCAATAACCATGATGCCTCCTCAGTGCTGCTTCCAACAAACTGACTATATTAGACATTTCCTCTGTGCCAGGTTTTAGTGAGTAAAATCTTGAGTATTATTGCTAGACAGAACCTGGGAGCATTTTGTAAAAGACTAATTGCTTTGTCTGTTACTTTTTTGGAAAACATACGAAACACAAAGGTATCACAAGGGAAGAATTAGGTCAGAATAACTCTTTGTTCAACTATGTGCAATTTATACATATATACTAGCGCCCTGCCAGGGTTCCAGTGATTTCTGAAACAAAGAGTTTTAAAACTATTAAAGGGGTTATTACTGAATTGCTACATTAATGTTAAACAAAACTCAGATCTTCTCAACAGATTTCAGTAAGTAGAGTATTTGTAAAATCCGTTATAATGTCTAACTTTGTAAATAATTTTATAAAACTCAAAAAAAAGTGCTACTGATAAAAGACAGTTGTTGCATTAGAAATTCCCTGAATATTTAAACAATTAAAAATATAGATTGAGAAATTCATAATCAAAATCATCATAAATGTCAAAATATCACATAACGTAGAAACAATTTTACAAACCTGTCTACTTACATCAGTCACAAATCTGTATTATAATACACAGACCCACAGCACTATTGGGTTTTTTTCTGCAGAAATAATTGTTTTTTATCTGAAATTTTTAAGAAAAAAGGGCTTCATCTCTTCATCTATACCTTCTGCGGATCAGGCCTGAAGTTTCAAATTATTCTCTGGCAACCGACTCTCTGAGATACATTGTCTTAATCAGTGACAAAGGGACTTAACTAGCACTGACTATTCTTTGTTATAAAAAATTAAATGAAGTATTTGACAGATACAAAACAGACTAAGTTACAGTCTCATTACATAAGAATGAAATAAAATACTACATTTTGCATTTGAGAGTTTTTCCACTAGGTTTTACAGGCGGAGGATTGGGCCCCAAATAAACTAGCAAGAGTGTAAGGGTATCAGTATGTAATGGGATATGTAAGAACTTTTGTTCTACAGATTTATATTTAATTTCTTTCTCAAAGAAAAAATCATAAAGGGGGCTGTGCAAAAACAGTATGTATTATGATAACTGGATTTCATTTCAGAAAAACCCCACACATTCCGCGTTACTTTGTTTGTCATGATCTTGATAAAACATCTAATAACTGGAAAAAAAAAAGATAAGCTGCTGATAACTAAAGATACTCTCCAAGGTGATTGTGAACAGACATTTTTTTTCCTATATATTACCATTTTAATAAGTAATTAATTCCCACTTTTGAAAATGCAGACCGAGATCAGATTACCAAATTTGTACGTGAATAGTTCTACTGCAGTTGCTCAGGAGATGGTGAGTGTAAAATCCCTCAACATGTTTTGCTGTCTGAAGGACACAATTTGTCTGCACGTTATCTCCTCTCATATGTCACCCCTTCCTCAGCTTCTCTGAATGAAGCTGTCCTAACCACGTTTGTGAGAGCTGATCTGCTGCTGCTGGTGAGGGTCAGGATGCCATAGACAAGAGACTGTAAATTATGGGTACTGCTAAGAGCAGGGCAGGAATGAAAAAGGAAGGCATCGTCTTCACAAAAACTAAATAGTATAAAAATATCAGTGTGGATTTAGATGTTAGAAACAAATAATGAAAATAACTCCCCTCTGTCAGAGCATTTTTTACACTGCAGACCAAAATATTCAAACTCTGTCCATCATGAGCCAGAGGATTTGGGTCCTGGCATTCTGAAGTGAATCTATCCAATCGTTTCCCCTCTCTGGCATTCACCTCTTCTACTATGGCAATTTAGATCATATTATGAAAAATAGCTACAATAAATTTCATACAGTGACATACCACAGAAAAAGCATTATTCATTCTTATTTATATGGGAAATGCTCATTTAAGACAGATTAAAGTTAATAGTTATATATGTCCAGCCAGTACAAACATATCAGAAAGATCTGGGAAACTAAGATTCAAATAACACCATTTTTACTGACAGTAACAGAGACAGACAATAAGAAAGAACAACTGCTTCCTACGCATAAGGAAAAAACATATACTACCAAAACACAGAATCTTATTTAGAGCTTTAGTAATATTACTCAACAGATACATAGAATAAGTAGGTGGTATCTTATGTATACGTAGGGAAAGTATTAGAATAGACTTGAGACTGGGGGCAGAGGGAACAGACAGTGTCTCTTTGGAAAGAGCTGTTGACAAGAATGCAGATCAAAATGATGCTTGTGGTCAGACAAGCTATTTAAGAGCTCCTTTGTCTCCTCACCTTCTACCAATTATTCCAATACAACTAGTGTCCCAAACATATGGGGGACACTGGCTGGTCATTCTCATGATTTTTCTGTATCTGAAATCCCCAATGGGCCTACACAATTCCTAAAAAGACAGACATGTACTTCTTGGATCACTGCTAGAGGAAGTCTGGTAATGGGCAGTAGATCATAGAAAAGCTAGAATAAATGAATCAGCTTCAAAAAGCTTGCCTAACAGAGGCACTGCAATGAAGTAAATGAGGACTGAGACTGGTTTAATTATTCTATCTTTTCTGTTAGTCATGTGCCAGCTACACTGTGAATCTACTTTAGCAAGAATATCATCACTGTGTAATTTTAAGCCCATTCTTACATACTTCAAATAGGCAGTAAATCAGTAACATATGAAACATTTTTCCTCAAACAAAACTTAATACAGCAGTTTTCTTCTTCCCAAGCAACCCCAACCCTCAAAAGAGATTAACCAGCAATAACCTTTAATTTCTGACTCATTGATCCAAATCTTTGCAACCTGCTAACAATCTCAGTTAGGTATTTATTGTTGCTTATGAAAAACTTAGTACACATAAGAGAGATGTGGAGCTACTGGAGTGAGTCCAGTGAAGGGCTACTAAGATGATTAAGGGACCAGAGCATCTCTCATGAGGAAAGGCTGAGAGAGCTGGGACTGTTCAGTCTGAAGAAGAGAAGGCTTAGGGGGATCTTATCAATGTGTTTAAATATCTGAAGGGAGGGTGTAAAGAAGATGGGGCCAGGCTCTTTTCAGTGGCGCCCAGTGAAAGGACAAGAGGCAACGGCCACAACCTGAAACACAGGAAGCTCTACTTGAGCACAAGAAAACACTTTTTACTGTGAGGGTTACTGAGCACTCAGAGCAGGTTGCTCAGAGAAGTTGTGGAGTCTCCACCCTTGGAGATATTCCAAAGCCACTTGGACATGGTTCGGGGCAGCGTCTGCTCCATGACCCTGCTTCAGCAGGGGGTTGGACTAGATGATGTCTAAAAAGGTCCCTTCCAACCTCAACCATTCTGTGATCCTGGGATTTCCTAAACAATAACTCCTTGTTACACTGCTCATATTGCAGTGAAAGTAAAGTTCCAAATAAATATCCTAGCTTTGGAAAAAGCCACAATATGTCAAAACTGTGACCAACATGAAACCAACTGCATCATGCATTGGAAGCAAACTGCAGCTCTGTGTTTAAGAAAAAAATAAACATGGTGCAAATCAGTGGGTATTAATATACAGTGTTGATCAAAAGCTTGTTACAGATTGTGCCAAAGGGTACTACAGTATGCCAAAACAAATTAACACATAATAATGATGTAAACGTGACTGCAAATATAGCAGGAAACATCTGAATGACAAATATGATAATAATATAGATAGCAGAGTATTCAGGTTGCCAAAATATCTTTAGAAACACATTTGTGTAGAGCGTGTGTGTGTGTGTGTACATATACATAATTTGTTCAGAGAATAATTGCTGGGATTCAAATGTGCTAATAAGCATTTTTTCATCGCTTTATGAGAGCTCTCTATATTCCCACCTCAACATGAACCAAATACTCATACACATCATTTAATAAAAATTTTGAAGTGATGTGAAGAACCTCAAAGTAGATGAAAAACTAGCTTTCTCCTTAGTAGAAGATGTATTTAATACAGTATGTTCATGAGATATCATAGCACATTATTTTGGTTACTGTCTAATGTATCCTTAGTTGACAAATAAAATAATTAAATTGTCAGTACTTAGTATCTTCATGGAAGCAGCTCAGAAATTTACTATTTCCAAATTCAATATTGCAACATAGCACAGATTACATATTGCAATAAGGCTTGACACCAACTAAAGCAAAACTATATGAGAATACTTTTTCTGAACTTTCTTTAGGCTTTAAGAGAAACATCTGCAAAAGTCTACAAAATGTATTCGTAGTATTCACAAAAATCAATTAAGATCAACATAGCACATGATCTAGCATGACACAATGTGATACTGATGCATGAAATGGGAGGCAAACCAAATTGCAGTGCTTTTGTTCAAAACTGGAACCCAAAATCTCTGACAGGAGGTGGAAATGTGGGCTTTAATCCACCCCATCTAAGAAGCAGCATGAACTGTCCCACAGTTACTATGCGAGGGGTAGGTTATATAAAAATGAGCACCAGAAATCCCAGCATATGCTCCACTGGCTGTCTAACAAAAGAAAAGTGTGCCCCGCTGTTTGCAAGTCAACACTATGCACTTAATAGTGCTGAAGCAGTAATGGTGCTCCTTCATACCAAATGAGAGAATATCCCGTTCTATCTCTGTGACAGACTTTGATTTATCACAGTCTCTACCCACTCTTAGTTGTTACGGTAGCGTATGCCTTTAATAACTTTATAAGCTTACAGTGGTTGAGTTCAAGACAGCTAGATATTCCTGAGGGACTCAGGAAGACAGTATCAGTGATGTTCCTTTAAGCCCTGTTTCAGCAAAGAATCTGAGTTTTACTTAACTTCAAGCTTAACAGTAGTCCCACAGGGTCTGCATAAAATATTTACTCAAAAGAGGAGGAAAGTGAACTCTCCATTTCTTGACATTTTGGCAGCACATGAATGGTAAAAGAGATGAAAATAAAAAACGTGAATTAAAACCTTTGTATCTACTACTGTAACAATGTGATCATGCCTCTAAGTCATCCATTGTTGGTCATCCAAATGGTTTCTCAGCAAATACGAACTGCAGGTAACTTCCTTACAGTCAGGCCAGATTGAAATATGTCTGTTATTTCCTTTAAGAACTTATGCATTTGTTTTCATTTATTTCCTCTATTTCATTTATTTATCTCTATCTTATCTGCAGGTAAATTAAGCATGCTAATGTCCCAGAATGTACTGACCACATCTTCTGTCTCACGATCACTACTCTGCTTTTTTTTTTTTTTTAATTTAAAAGGAACCATTTTTATGACCACACAAGACCTTGTGCGTCATGTGAAACTTTTTGAAGACAAAAGGTTACCAAAAAGCAAAAATAATTATATAGGTTTTAGTAGTGCTTTTAAATTTTGTATTGCTATATCATATATGTATTTACTTATACATACTTGCCTCTAAAATTTTCTAAAAATAAAATGAACATGAAAACCAATTAGGCTCAGAAAAGAACTGGTTAAAGGAAGGGATATTAAATGACAGAGCAAATAAAAAAACAATCACAGCCAATGGTATATTGTAAGAATACATGCTGCACTGAGGTGGGGTGTTTTTTTTTTTTTTTTTTGAATCAGTCATTGATCCAGCCCTTCAGGATGCTGAGCAGTCCTGTAAATTGCTTAACACATTAAATACATTGATTCCATAGGGTCTGAGAATATTCAAAGCACAGTAATTTCCTAGATACTGTGTGAATGGGAAGTTACTGAATCAGCCTCAGGGCACCATATACTTTATTATAAAACTTTAAATGAAAACAAGGAGAGGAGCAACCAAATAAAGAGATGCCTTTTAATTTCCCAGATTTAATACTGAAATCAAGCTGATATGCAGCCAGAAAGTCCAACCTTTCACTTGAAAAAAAACCAGGTCAGATACAAACACAATACGTACTAGAGGAACTTGCTGGCTGTTGGAATTAGTCTAAAGTTATACAGCTAGAATATCAGAACGATGCCTAGTTGTTTCCACCACATGAGGCAATTATATATGCACACCTACAAGAATGTTTAGCTTATCTTGAATCTGTGGAGATTATTTTAAGTATTTACATTCTTTTAAGTCTTCATTTACATTGACCAACCGAGATGACTGTACTGGTGCAATTACAACTGCAAGAACATATGATTTTACATTAGTGCTAGCAATTTACAGTTTCAAATCACCCCACTTTCAAACAAGGCTGAGCTTCCCCAGTTTAAGAAGTTTCCACAGTGGATATTTACACAGGTGCCATTTCAGCGGTGCCTGAAATCCCATTGAAAACAAAGCCTTGTTAGCATCCTAGCAGGGCTGTAGATTTCCCAGGACCACTGTTATTGTTAGATAAAGAGTATGGATGGAATGGCACATTTCAGAATGTCAAAGAAAATATTCTAAAATATTAAATTTGGATGACACAAATTTACACAAAACTAATGATGTAGGAATAATTCAGTGGAATCAAAACAATAGAAGTCATGTGCAAACCTAGAGATGTCCCTGGACAGTATACAGAATTCACTGTTTCATGTTGAAAATGGGAGGTCAAGCCCAGAAATATACTGAAACTACAGTACATTCATGACGTGCACAAACAAAGCACAATAAAGTGGAAAAGACCAGAAAGAGACAATATTTAGTACACAAATAAAGAATCTGCTGTGCAGTACTAGAAGACATCAAAGATGAGTTTCTTCTCTAGTGAGCATAGCATGAAAAACTAATAAATGACAGTGTTAGTCCTTGATACATAATTTCAGACTGTGGTGTGTATTTTAGCTGAAGATCACTACTTTGATCTCCACAATATTTTCAAGACAAACATGTGGATTACTAAAAAGACAGTGTTCATCACAGCTGAACGCTCAGCAGTAATCAGTTACAAGTAATGCTGTCAAATCAACACTGTCCATACAGTGTTAAATACACAGTTAAGCACAAGGCCAAGTACCGGGCCATCCTGTACCGTAACTGAAGTATATCTGAGCTATCTTTCATTATCTCTTCACAATCAAGTATGTTTTGCAGGTATTTGGGAAAGTCATATGCTCCTCAAATATTCTTTCCAGTAATGCAATCAGTCATGATATTCTCATACAGGTTAACACAAAAATCAGAACAAAATTTTAAGGTGAATCAGCCTTAAAATTATTTTGAACATGTTTATTCTTTGAGCTAGCAGTTTGCGAAATTTGTAGCTGAATAAAGAAATCTGAAGTCCTTCGAGTTAATAGACTGTGTATATTTGCCATCTTCATAAAAATTCATAACCTGATAAAAGAATACATATGCTTTTCATACTAGGTTTAAATATATTAATAATATGTATTACTGTGCTTACCAAACAGACTAGAACCAAAGAAGATTAAAAACTCTTCACATCACTGTTTCTCAACAGCAGCTACTGCAAGTAATTGAAGCTGTCCAGGCCAATGTTAATAGGCTGTGAAGGGAGACCTGTATGGGCACAGTATGAGAAGTATTTCTTTTGGCAGCAGCCCCATCCTCCTTGCCCTTGTCCATTCATTCTTGCCCCATCATGCCCCATACTTGTGCCAATACCTTGCGGTCAGTACCCTGATCCAGTCAGCTCCAAAGCCCCACAAACACTTCTGGAAGCACAGCTCACAGAGTTGTGCAAGTAGGAAGAGGGGCTGCGGGTGAAGGCTGCTTAAACTCACAGAGATGCCAAAAGAAATCCTCATCAAACCATAGCCTCAGTCTAGATCAGCCTGAGCGATCTAAGCTCCTGGCAGTGTGGTTTGCTGATCTGAACGAAGCACTGAAAGTCAGAAACTGTCTTCTAGAAAGATCTTACTTGAGAGTTTTGCCTTTTTCTTCTTTTCTGATCCTGAAATGCTTGGAATAGATCTCAACTACAGATTTCAGCTGCAACTCCTATTCCACATTCCTGGGCAGCTTTATTATCCTGGTTTTCACAGTTCCAAAACCAAGTTACTGTCTAAATGAAGTACAAGGTATTCTTTCTGCTATCAACTGGAGGAATGTGATCCTAAAAATTGGGTTCCTCACTCAAACACCTATGGAAAATAAATTTTAAAATATGTTTTCTCTGAGAAACTGTTCCAATAAAATGGCAATGATTATCACAAGACGGATCATGAACTTTCACATTTAAAAAAAGTACAAAGTTCATGTTCAGTCTTTGAGTACTTTTTAGTTATGTTAACATTTAGGCTTTACAGAAATGGAGGAACAGTACTGAGGTTTTCCTCTCTATCTTCTTTTGATAAAAATGTATTTGGAGTCAACATCTTAATACTCTTTGCAGACTCCTCCTTGTGCTGTCAGTTTGTAATGCACAGGGCTTAATAGTGACTGGACTTAGTAACTGACTCCCACTACTAAGACCTTGGCTGTATCACAACTTTTCTGCCTCATTTCCCCCATATATATATAAAAAAAAAATCCATCACCTGAGAATATTGATTATTTATTAAAATATTAAAAATTTTTTGAAAGATGATAAATAATAAATAACCCTCCTGAAAAGAAACAATTTGGGTAAGTAAGGGAACCCCCGGAAAAAAAAAAGAAGTCTAACAAGTAGCTTTCTAAACCAAATTTAAGAGAAAAGGAATGGTATTAGCTAGCTCCTAAACTAGGATGGATACAGAAAAATATACAAGCTAAATATCTTCAAATAAAATAACAGCATGCAATTATTTATATCTACAGCTTCTCCAATTAATTTATTCTTTGATACAGGGGAAATATGTGAGTGTTGGGGCCCTGCATCTCCACAGGTATTTCTGGATATCTCGGAATGATAAATAGGTAAGATCCTCAGCAGGTGAAAGAGTCTGAGCACTCACTGACCATTCTGAGGCGCTGATGTGGATCCACGACTCACCTTCGTTCTCCCTTCCTACGGTCTTAGGAGGCATGAGAGGGAAGAGGCACTTTCCCCTAAAATTTGATTTTGATCAGTTGAACAAAGAAGCGTGTAAGTATGGGAAGCATCTGCATATCTGGCTCCACAACTGGTCCCCATTTTGTTAACTTTCATTTATCTTTTTCATCATATAGCTTTCCTTGTTAAAGCCAGCAAGTGAGACAGAAAACAGGCAAAAATCAGTGTTTCCATATTTGTTTCTTCGAAGGGATCTTTCTGTTGTCCTAACACCTATACGTGTAGTAGCCGTCCCTGAAAATTTTGGTGAAAACATGGAATTTTCAAAGTACTTTAACAGTAATTCAACTGCCAGAACATTTACTGCAGGATAGCAAAAAGCAAAAGGGTTATAAAAAATACCATTTCTGTTTCACAGTATGGAAAGTCTAATTTTCTCTGTACTCTTTCTTCTGCTACCTCATGAGATACGAATGCCAAAATCCGGTCTTTCCACAGAAAAAAAATCATTATTTGTTAAACAACTGAGCTTTTAAAATAATTTTATGCTTGAATTACCAGGGTCAAGCTACCTAAAGAAATCGTTGGGCTTCAAATGAAATAGTATCAGAGGCCTAATATTTCCTTTTTCATAAATAAAATGAGTTTAAAATATTTTCTGTACCTCTGTAAAAAATTTTTTTTCTCATTGTTTCACTATGCTGTGTGCATGTGCAACTGTATGTGTATAGAGATCTATAATAATAGGTTGTACAAATATCTATATCAATATTTTAGTCTTTGATTCAGAATATAACAAACTTGTTTCAAAAAAAGGGACTTTTGGGGATAAAGTTTACATTTTCTGTATTTCTTGATGACAGCAATTACTTTTTAGTGCATGAACAGTTGCTACTTACATTAACTTCTGTTATAGCAATATCAACGACGCTACCAACAACAATTAAGGCATCAAAAGTGTTCCATGCATCAGTGAAATAGTGCTGTTAGGACAAGCATTCAGCAGAAAGAGAGCAAGAGAAAAACACAAACAGAAAAAGAGAAGAAAAGGACAGTGTTATAACACAGAAACACTCTAGGCTTCTCTGATGTACCACTATACAATCTTTCCCTTTCATAGCTAAAAAAAATTGGTAGAGAAAAAGGCTATTTATTTCCCATATCAACATAATTGACCTATGACTGGTCTGTACGCAAAGTTTAGAAACATCAGATCAAAATCTGTGACTTGTCCAGATGATGGAAATAGTGGGGAGACAGAGAAAGAGAAGTAGGGATCGGGGAAAGTAAGCTGGGGTATACTCACATCAGCTTCACTGAGAACGACGTCTACTATGCTGCCAATAACGATGAGGGAGTCAAACGTATTCCAGGCATCACTAAAATAGCCCTGAACAGAGCAGGCAGGGTGCAAACGTTTGTGATTACACATGAAATGTCAAATATTTGCATACTTCTGTTTAGTTTTGCATAAACAGAAATTAGTTAAACAAAACCTGTGGTCTAATGAGAAAACAAAACAAAAACAAACAATATTGCCTACTGAAGGAAAAGCATCATATATGTACAGGTGTGCGTGTGTGTGTGTGTATATATATATTTTATATATATACACGTACAGACACGCACACAGACAGACACATACGCGCGCACGCACACACACATACACACGGTACACATGCATAATACACCATCATATAAGCACAAAGTCGGCAAGCAAGCTATCATCCAAAACTCTGTTTTGGACTCCCAGCAGTGCTGAAAAATTCTCACATATATACCTCAACAAGCACAACAAAGTCCCTTTGATAATATTTCTAAAGGATAAAGCCAATGGAAACCTGCTTAACATTAGTGACTTTGTGACAGTTCTACCCAAGTGACTGGTTAAAATACTCTAAGGTTAATCATGCACAATTATTATTACATTAAATGGAACTGTGCATAAATATTAGAGGACTGACAATCTTTTATTCATAAACTAGGTTTAAAATTTGGGAACTCACACTGCGTTTGCGGTCAGGGCCTGATTCTGTAGCCACTGCAGTCAAGGCTAAGACCCATCGGAACTTGAGTAAGTTCTTAGCGATATAAATGCAGTCACTCCAGTGTCTGAAAAGTCATCTTAATAAATTACTTATTCCCCCTTCTGACACTTTCTGGCTTTAAGTACATTCTGTGTGGACATGTTCTGGGCACACTGCTGCAAATGGTCATAAAGTAGTATCATCAACTAAGAACCCCATTCAGCACTGTCTATTTGTGTCTGTTTGGGCAAAAAGATATTTGAAAATAAACTTTGAGGTGAGTTCCAGGAGCAAATTGTCATTAGGTATGAACACTGGAAACAAATCCAGATGTATTCATTTCTTGAAGGTGACTCTATGGAGACAAGGTATTTAGGCCTTCTTCAATATGTGGATTCCACCTAGTGTTTACAGAATTCATAAATTACAAATATTATTGGCCTTGCCGTTTTAAAATTGAGATATACTGATTTACCAGCCAACTATGGCTAAGGGATGTACCTTATGTAACAATGGCTATAATGTACATTTTGTAAATGCATTTTGCCTTCCTGTTTATTCATTTTTAAATTACTAACTTGCCTGTTACTACTGTAATTTTAAAAAATAAATTTACAGAGTTTAAATGGCAGTATGGAAATCTAGCCTTATGTCTACTTATACTTTTAGACTACTTTAAAATAACGTTTTGGGTGAGTGGGGTAAGTTGCTAGAGGTCTTTTTACCACAGAAAAGTAAAATCAGCTAGAAAATTTTTTAGAATTGGACAATATTTTTGTCAAGATTTTAAATGGTTAGAATTTCTAGTTTTTACAGTTTAGAAGTTACACTCAAGTGCACAATGACTCAAAAAAACGCTAATTTCATGTGAAAATTTGCTCTTGGAAACTCTGAAAGCACAGCTACAGAAGGCGACAGCTCTACACAGTATTCTAGAAGAGTAAGAACTGAGCAGAGGGTCAGGAGAGCCTCATCATGCTTCCAATGCTACTCTGTTTCCCAGAAATGCTGTACTTACTAATACTATCTTATTTTAAATTTCAGCTTCTTTAAAAAGAGAATGGCTATAATCATTCCTTAATTTAAGCAAGGCGTTGGGGGAGGAAAACAGGTCAGACTATGATTATTGCTAGAGCCCTTTGTGCTGCATGCTTTGGTTCCCTGGGATTAGTCATCAGCTCCAGCTCTGGAGCAAAAGGCGATGTTCATGGATTTGGCCTCCTGAACAAAAATATCCACTTCTGAGAGCTCCCGCACAATTTCCTACCGCTCCTCCTTTTATCCCTCCCACTTCATCAGAACAAGTCATTCCTGAAGTTTCTGTTAAACATCATGATGGACCGCCTCAATAATACCGAGATGGATAATCCTAAAAACATTAGTATCTGTCAGCTAAACAAGGGAAGCTACTCTCACAGTATTCCTCCTGACCATATTCCCTATTTCTTTTATTTAAAAAGAAATATCTTTCTTATTTTAAATAATGATAACAATATATAAAAAATAAGAGACTACTAGCAAATAGATAAGCAGCAAAATCCTGAGGTGCACTACCGATCTCCCCCTACAACAGGAACCAAAGAAAGGTCCTCCAAAGAAAGGCTAATTTCACCTACAGAAAAAATAACTTTACTGACATACTACAATATAAGGCACTTAAATAACATATTCACATTTTGATTCAATACTGCTAAAATACTTTAAACATTTATTTAAGAAACCTTTTCCATCAGTATGGACAAATATTGTTCAAAGTAATATGTAAAGCAAAAGCATACAAATAAACAAAAAACTAAGAGAAAATAAAGATGGTTTTGGAAAAGGGAGGAATGGACAAGTCACAGCAAATAAACATCATGCAAATAAGTTGTTTTCACCACTGCAATGACCCAAGATCAATTCACTTACTAGCCATCTTTCCTTTTTTCTTACAAAAATCTGATGTAAAATGACATGGAAAAATCATTACAAGTTTAAGTAACAGCTGGCTATCATGAAGCTGTATATATGGTATGTGTTGATGTATTGTTTTAGATTTCATAGCTATATTTTATTTTGTAACGTACTAACCATGCTAAATAACAGATTTTAGCATATGTGAAGAACAACATGGATAGAAAAAAGCCTGCTGTTATAACTTACATTGTGAAAAAGTTATTCACTGAGAAATGCTAAAGGATAAATCACAAATCCTGGGGAATATTTATGCATACAGAATTAAACACAAAAATATGTTTCTATTGATCTATTACATAAATATTTCAGTCCTTATAGCGCTCTGTTGAAAAGTTTAGGTCTCATTCTGCAAAGGACTGTGTGTTCCAATATCCCAATCAATAAGTGTGCCAGACACTAAGCATCACCTTTAGTATCTGCCACTTATCCAAGTTTTTTATGTTTGAGAGCTGGAAGACAGTCTTCAGGACCTTAGTTTTACACAACACAATGTCATACCAGGATTATCAATACTAATAATAGCCTTAGGTTTGCAGGAGCAGCAAAAAAGGAAGATCACACTTTCTGCAAGATTTTTGACAACATATTAAGGGGACACTGTCAAGCAGACCAGATAAAAACTAACACTTTGTCTATTTTTATTTTTACACAGTGAATAATAGAGTTTTCGTTTGATGCTTTGAACAACTTCACAATTATTTTTTAAATGCATAAAATTAATAAATAAAATTGTCAACTTTGCCAGACTAGACTAAGTAACCCAATGGTGGAACAGATAAAAGAAATTAGTCAGTCTTTCCTCACAGACCCTCAAGCAAAATTTTAAGTTTGGTTTCAGATTGTTCCTAGTATTAACAAATCTTAATAATAATTAAAACAATTCATTAGTTTCTTAAACATGTATCTAATTTTAAAATTAGATTGCTAAAAGACATTCACATTCTGCTTAAGATCGTTAACTGATTTGCTACTATTGAAAAAATTGTAATACACATTGCCAGTAAGTGTCCTGTTAAAGAATACCTTACAATAAAAAAGCTGCAATCTTCAAAGAATATCAGGAAATACCTTAAAGATATTTAACTCCATTCCCTTTCTGCTAATTAATCTCTGGCAAAAATCTGATGAATATGATGGCCTTTTAACTTTATCCTGCTAATTAGCAAGTTTAAAGTCTGCTGCATCTATCAGGGAACAAAACTCAGGAAATGAGGACTTTTCACTGACAGTGTCTTCCCTTCAAACAATCAGTGTTCAGATCCAGAGATCTGTTACAGTAAAAGCATCTAATCAGATAGAAAGCACGCTGCAACAGTTAGAACCCAAATTGTACAAAGTCTTTGAGACTAGTATTAAGACACTGAACAGCATTCAACAGTGAGTCGGAAGACCATTAATACCAATGGAGCACTATAATTTATACACTCATGATCAGATCATAATTTGAATTAGCTGCTATTTCTGACTATAGTCACAAGTGCATGGAGAACCATATAAGGATTCACAATCTTCTTTCAAAGAGCAGATGATAAAATGCAGCAAAATCTCCTGAAATGTCAGTGTGAAACAAAGATACAGAACAGGAAATGCAATCGTGAAATACAATCAGCATACCCGTGGTGCTGTGGTCCACACATCCTAACTATCTCCTCTGGGGCCTCCTATTATGTTATTTTTGGTGTGAATTCCCTAGCATTTAAATAAGATAGGTGATACAAAAATACAAATAAATTAATCCAAAATATATATAATGGATTGGCTAGGGTAGAGTGAGACTACGGTAGAGTGGGTAAGCATTCACCCAGAACTCCACACTTCATATCTCAACAGCAGACCTCAGGGGATGCATAACTTGTTTACTTATGCAAGCAAATACATAAAGTTAGCTTTAAATCAAGTAGCTCAGGCTACACAGCACAGTTCATGGCAAAATGCAACCTCAAAAAATAGTCTTGAAAAGCTGGACAGCAGTCACACATCTACCCCATGCTGAGCTCTGGGCTGCCATGGCTCTGAAGTATCAGAGCTAGTCAGTTTAAAGCAAGAATAAGTTTGCCCACACAACCTACAGTCATCCAGTGTGCTCCTTAAAACAAAGGAAGGGCACAGCCCACATTCAGATTATAGATACAGATGTCCTGATTACTTTAAAAGAAAGGCAATGAAAAAATAAAAGTACCAGACTTAGATGGTGCAATCAGTCAACCTCAAATGGCATGGCATGGCTTTTTGCTCTGCACTCTGTGCAGAGTGACCACATTTTACTTATTTACATAGATGTAAGACCAGGACAAATATTGATTTCATTGTAACTGAACCCAAAATTTAGTTTAGTTTTTCTTTCTTTAAACTTTACACTGTCATAAATGGGATGTGAGAACTGAACAAATAAGACTGGATGAACTATCATAATCTTATTTTTATCATTTCTTTTCAATTAGTAATTAGAGTTATCAGTATCTCTGTAAAACCTACTTCAGAAAATGTGTTTGCATTGTTCATTTTGACAGTGTCCCTTTAAGGCAAGAAATCTAAACTACTTACTGTGGGCCCCTCTACCAAATGCTGCATACATAGAATTGAAAACATAAAAAACTAAAAAGGCTACTTGCATATGCAAAGTTATTTATGTGCATGTTTGTAGTACTTAGTTATATTTTATAAAATAGAGATATTGTAGAATTTTGCATTTTAGCAAGCAAGCTTAAAATAACATACAAGTCTCTACTGAGGTTTAACTTTGTTTAAGATTATGAATGAGGTACCATGAATATAAGAAGTGGTAATGCTTGTAACAGGAAACATGTAGGTTCTTCTTGTTACTTGAATAACATATAGATAACGTGAAACTTGTTATACTTAACTCTCTTGGTTATGACCTAACTAAATCACATCTAAAACTTACCTTGGGTTTGAACGCAATCAGTTTCAAAACCATTTCAACAGTGAACACTCCTGTGAAAACCATATTCATAATGTCCATTGCATCATTAAAGAGCTTAGACTGTCCATAGTGCTGTGAATGAAAAATATGATGCTTTTAAAAGTAAAGGATTGTAAACATTAAGTGCAAGTAGGATAGCATAAGACAAAGTTGGCAAAAACACAGTCCAGGAAGAGGTTTTCTCTTAGCATTTATGATGTAGACTTATACGCATAAAGACTGATTGAATATCATTGGTTAAAAACGGAGTTATCTGTTCAGGCCCTGAGTGGAACAAATTTGTCATTCCTCTACATACTAAGAGGATCTCCAGGGAGACTGTTTTGAGAAGAAAACTGGTCCTTCAAAAAGGAGGTATTAAGCAAAAGCAATTTCCCAAGTCGTATACGATAAATTTAAAAATTATATAACCTTGTGTTGCACCTACTTAGAAAGCCTATAGTATTTTAGTCAAAGAATAATATATATTGTATAGCAATAATATTTTTAAGGGCATACAGCTCCCACACGTTTACAGCAAAAGCAAGCAGAATGGGTATGCAAATTGGATTTTAACTAATCTTTTTCTTATTAAAATCTAAAGTATTGGCAAAGAGAAAGAAATAACTAGGAAAAGTAGACAAGAGAAATAGCAGGTGAAAAACAGGTGTGTGTAATGTTGGAAAAAGAAGAAAAAGGTTAAAATATGTATACATACATGCAAAAACACATACAAAAATATGCACACATATATAGATACACAGCTAATATATGAAAATAGATGTTTGTATGAGGTTTGCATTATCACACAATTCTACAGTTGTTCCATGCACAATGTTTTTAAGCTTCTGAAGAAGATGCAAACACCAGAGACAGAAATATGGTGTGGTACATATACAAAAAGAACATAGAACAAGTACAGAAGCTACAAGGAGGTGAAGTAATGCTTAAATGCATTATGTAAAAGAACATATTAGATAAAAGATCTAACTGGTTGACAGAAATGTTTGCTCATAAAAGTAGGCTTTTATGTGCTCTTTAGATTTTCTTGCACCTGGAAGATCTTGGAAATATACAAATGTAAATTATATTATGCTGTACGTAAAAAATATGGCATAGAAAGCTTGAATTTAGCATAGGTAGCTCCAAGAAAAATTGATTTTTACCCAGTATTTTTTGGTGCAAATTAAGTATTTAACCACATAAGTGGCATTAAAAGTGTCTTCCAAAGGACGCTTTGGCAAAGACTGCTAATTCATATTTTTGGAACATATAGGTCACAGAGTCCAGTACTACCCTTTCTGTATTCAATGAACTTTGTATAGGAGAGCACTGTGGAATCCTGCATGAAGTTGCTCTCTCCACTAATTGTTTTCAAACACTAACTGATGAATATGTCACTTACAGTGTTCAACACTCTTTTGAGCTTTAGTAGTATTCCCTAATTATAGCATGTTCTCTTGCAAATATGTAATTAATAAGTATAATCAGTACAGCAATTATGATTTTGATCTATCACTAATAATCAAACTGCACAGCATGGCAGGGAAGTAGTGTTATGGGGGAACATTATATATATTCTATATCTATAGAAAGAGCAACTTTGACATGACTGTAAAAAATGGCTTGTTCAAGTCTTTGAAACTGATCTAGGTTTCAGGATTCCCCTCCTGTACTTCCCCTTTTATCTCTGGCTTTTATCTTCATCAGTTATTTCGTATCCTTCTGTCATTTGAAGGAAAAATAACTTTAGAAATAGTGAAAGCTTAAAAAAGAATGCTGCCCAGTAATTTTCCTTTGGAACACTAAGTAATGAGGGCCGAAAGTGGAGGGATGGACTCTATGTATTGCTTTTCTCATTCCCACCATTCTTTGTTAGGAAGACCTTTATCAACATCAAGCAGTTTTAAAGAATCTTACTTCACAGAACTGATACACAGATTGGAGTACAAAAAAAGAGTACTATGACCAGAGGTGTTTTTAAATTTCACTTCATAAAAAAGTAGATGTTGCCATAAGTCAGAGGCTCTACATCTCCCATATTCTTCCCTGAAATTCACGCCAAAGGCTTAAAAAAGCTTCTGGTTTTCCTACCTGCATAGCCAAGCAAAGTGTGTTCAACATGATGAGGACAAACATGATGTATTCAAATCCAGTAGAGTTCACCACATACCAGAACTTGTACTGGTAAGGATTTTTTGGAATATATCTACGAAGAGGACGTGCCTTCAAGGCATATTCTACACACTGACGCTGTAAAAGTAAACAGATCAAAAATCATCAGACTGTATATAACAGTGAATCACTAGGGAATACTATTTATGATAAATGCAAATTGTTAAATAGAAGTCTAAAACACAGGCAGTGTAGAAATTTTTATTATTAAGTAATCAAGTAGCTTACCAATCCTCACTTGGTAATTAACATTTACAACTGCAACTAACGACATACACCAGTCAGCCACAGAAAAAAATATCAAATAATGCTCACGGAAATTCTGAAGTGTTTTGCCTTTATATAGTGGAGTCATAGACAGTAGTACACTATAGACTGTGTGTGTGTGTGTGTGTATATATATATATATGTATAGTACGTAGTACTATACACAGTGTGTAGTATGGATACTACTCATCATGGTGCTATCCAGCCTTCAGAATTCTAATGAAATATCTAGAACTAATTCTAAAGAATCTTAGCTATTAATAAAGATGACTACTAAGTCGCCTATAAGCCATACTTTGCCTTTGCTCAGTTTTCAATCACAAATGTAACAGCACAGCATAAAGCCTTAGAGTCAGGAAAATAAATATTTGAGGAGTGCTACTCATAACAGTTCAGTTAAAATTGCCCAGGAAAATCACGCTATATATGATGGGAACACCATGGATTCACCTCCAACTTTATCAGTGTTTGAAATCTTCATAGAGGTTGGGCTTTCCACTTTCCTTTTGAAGAATGCTTATATAAGCTGACAGATAGAGCACAAAATGTAGTATGAACACTATCCAAAGTTTCACAGTTAACTTCATTTAAATATGTGTTACAGTGGAATATAAGTACCTGAAAGATCATGAACCCTGACTGATGAGTTTCTCAGTCAAAAGATTAAAGAATAAAAGGGGAATAATTTATCTGAATCTGAATATAAACCATGAGTTTCTTAATAAAAAATAAGCATAAAAATCTGCTTTGAATATTTTCCTTAGTATGGGATAACTATTCAGAATATAACTTTTTATTTCTGTTCTTATTATAAAATCTACCCCTGCCTACAGTAAATTAGCAAATGTTGCATTCTTCTTAATGTGACTCCAACAAGCGAGACACTAAGAAGCTGACAAGCTTAATGTAACACCCCTCATAACAAAAAGGCCCAGCTGCTGGGCTTATGGAAAGAGGAACACAGAGTGACTTGCATACCTATTGACAGTAATATTTACTAATTCTGCTTTTTTTTTTTTTTTTTAAACTAAGATATGTGCTTGGTGCCCTCTTCTGACCCAAAGCAGAAAGGAAGCTCTTCATGCATAAATAAAAAAGAATACTTTCAAAAAGTAAAGAGTTCATTATTTATTTTAACCTGATTTTTGTCCAGCTCACAGTTCTTATATTCTTGCTCTCCCTGTTCTTGAAATGTAACAATCACAAAACCAACAAATATGTTCATCATAAAGAAAGCAATAATGATGATGTAGATGATGAAAAAAATGGAGATCTCCACTCTATAGTTGTATACAGGTCCTACATTCTCGCCGTTCGAATCAATGGCTTTGTACAGCAGCCTGAAAAACAAAGTAGTATTATCTTTATTATCATTAAAACGGCAAAAGATAGTAAAATATGCTGACTCAGAGGACGGATTTTAGAAATGGCGTACTGTTTTACAAGTTTTGTAGTACAAGTTTTACTCAAAGGCCTAAAATTTTCATATTAATATTATTTAAAAGGCATGGAAGGATAAACATCTAATAGGATTACTTCCATTAGAGCTGAAGAATAGTGCATTATAGCAGAAGGAGTTGAAAGATTAGGAAACAAACAGTGTAAAACATAAGGTTATGCTGATTTTAACAGGCACACGCACACAAAAAGGACAATACTATAGCCAGAGACCATACGGTACTTTTATGTGTGGCACTCACATTTTAAATTGATTTTACTGGCAAAAGGAAGCTTGAATAATGGGCATTTTCAGCACTCAATTTGACCTAATATGCACTGATGATGAGTTCTCAACAGCTGTACTTTGTCTATTCTGTATCCACAGTGAAATCTCAAAATATAAAATGAAGACTGAAATCTCATGTTGTTGAATTCCTGAATCCAATATTGCCCGCTCACTGCTCCATTACAGACTACAAAGGCAGTGAATTGCTGAAGTACAATTACAGGAAAAGTGCATTCAGACTTCTTTATAGAGAACAATACATTCAGAATGATGATAGGCTTTTTTCTCTTCCTCCATTAATAAGTTTTTATATCATCACTTAGGACTGTTTTGTTCCCCCCAAAAGCCTGGTAAATGATAGAGAACTGTTCTGGGAAATGTAACTGCGTTAACAGTGCTGTGAAGACATGGAGAATTCACTCACGCTGGCCAGCCTTCAAAAGTAGATACTGTAAAAAGGGCCATCATAGCAGACAGAACATTGTCAAAGTTGAAATCACTATTTTGCCAGACCCTCTCTTTGACCATTGGATTGTCCACATCTCCATCTTTATAAACAATATATATCCCCCTGTGAGAAATGGAAATAAACAAATTGTGATTAGTGAAATACTAGATTAGCCTCAGAGTTGTTCAATTCTCTATTCAAAATAGTTGATTTTATGCCATCACTAAACTTGTTATATTTCCTCGGTAACCTATGTTGAACACCTTTACCTTTTAAAGGTTTCTAGTGGATTTTAAGATGATGATTCCAATTTATACAAACCTAAACGGCATGAGATATGGCTGCCCAGTTGCTACAGTTTAAACTATAATGTGTTACCCTACATTTAAAAAAAAGAACAAAAGGGTAGAACGCAGAACATATGAAATAAATGCATTTATACTGACTAGTTCAAAATAGGACCAGCCCCAGTTCCAGCACCAAGCCACCAAGAAGTCAGCTGAGCTTTGTCGCTCTTGATGCGGTGTAAATTTTGAGAGTCTATTTACCTTGAACAGCTGCACTCCAATACAAGCAAACATGAACTGCAGCAGAGTTGTAACAATCATGATATTACCAATAGTTCTAATAGCCACAAAGACACACTGAACAACATGCTGCAAAGAAAGAAAAAAGGATTTTAATACAATTTTTACATAGGAGTATCATAAAATACATCCCATAAGCGTAAAAGCATATTTTATCACACTGATTATTTTTTTAAAATAACTTTTTTAATGATGTCAGTATTATACCTAGACTTGTTTTCTAAATTTCTCAGAAATCTGCTGAAATACACCCATTAACACCTACTGATTCAAAACTACATACGCACAGTGGAATGACAATAAAAGCATCATGGTGGCTCATAGCAAGTATAATGGCCAAAATCTACTCTCAGCGGCATGCCACATATAAACTTTTGTAACTGTGGGCACGATCTGGCCTAGCACGCTTAAGAATCAGGGAGTGACTTATGGCCTTGCCCTGTGACCCTTTCCAGACAATTTCTCTTGCAGTATAGTTTTCAACCTGAGGCAGGACTGAAGAAACAAGCCAAAAGAAATGTAACTTAGAAAAAGATAAAAATAAAAACCTTAAGTCCTTTTGCTCTGTTTATTGCCCTTAGAGGCCTCAAGACTCTTAAAACTCTGAGGATCTTCACAACTGAGATAGCACTTGATCTAGGGTAAAAAGAAAAGTTATCCTGTTACTTTTCAGTTAGTTAATTTTCTTAGCAAGAGTAACAATGTTCTTGCAACTTCCTTATATATGAAAATTCAGGGAAGTCTTAAGATTTCTGAAGTCCTTCTTTGATCTTTTATTAATATTAAAAATACTCTTAATCTCAAATATTGTAAGAATGATTTTGATTTCTGGAGCAACTTGGGAATTAACAGCTCAAGGGCCTGTCTGACACTGTCATGCAGCTAAGTTTGGTCGCAATTAAATACCCTCTGAAGTATTTTTCAGCGTTGACAAGTCTATCGCAGATATTGTGCCAGTCCCGTGAAGCAACAAATACCTTAATTTCCAACCAACTGGAGATGATTTTAAAATGAGGCAGAACTGCTCCTTCAGTGAATTAGTAAGAGTCTTTAGCTCTTAGATTACCATGCTTTGCCTGAACTAAAGGGAGCAAAAAATTTCTTCACTACCACTCACATAATCAGTCCTGATTATAGTATAAATTCCCCTCCCCTTCAAATACTGTCAGGTTATATACCACAGTGTGACAATGCTGAAAGAACAGGCTCTAAGAAGTGGGTTGTACATTTGGTAACTGCACAAAAGAGGGAATATAACCTCCTGAAGCTCCAGGAATTACTTGCTATACAGTACAGTGTCATGGCACTCTTCCTTGTCCGCTTGGTAATAGTGGGAAGCAGTAATTTGTTTTCAACCTGTATTCATAATGAGTTACAACGCTCTCCATACAAAGCACCATCTCCTCCCATTCCCGACCCTGAATACTGAACTTGCACACCCACATACAACAGGGGAACAAAAGGAGCTGAAAGACCAAGTTCAGTTTAAAATCCAAAGCAAAAAGAAATCACTCGTATTATAATACTTACTGAATACCAAACGATACCAGAGAAACACCCACAACGAGCAAATCCAGCAAATTAAAATAATTCCTGCAGAAGGACCCTTTATGAAGGAATGCTCCGAAAGCTGTCATCTAAAAATAGAATTATTGCACACTTAATCTCTATTTGTATTTATTCAAATTCACATTTAGGCTGTTTACAAGACACTTGCTTAGAGTGTGAATGCATACATTAATATCTCACCTTGTAAATTAAGATACAAAACAATCTCACTACATATATATAAATAACTTTAATTTAAACCAAATAAGCTGTGCTCAAGCAACATCAGCAAATGTGTTAATTGTTTCTGACATCAATAAATGTTATACTTTTGTGTAAGAACTGATTAGGCCAAGCTGATTTCACTGAAGATCTGATTGGGCCTTTGTTAAAAAATGACTAGTAGAACCATAAAACTTCCAAGCTTACTAAATTCTAAGATCCAGATTCTGGCTACTGATCGCTCATACTGTCTTGGGAACTGGAAGGAGCTGAAAAGGTACCATAAAAATCTGAGAGTAAAATCTGGTGCAGAACCAGCATAAGGCTTTCTTATGCAGCTTTCTAGTGGCACTTGTCATTGTTACATAGGAGACATGTTAAGAGCATGAGCGTGTATCTTGGTAGAAGAGGCACAGCATGTTTGTAGTATTTGTGCTTGTGAGTCCTCCGGGCAGTGGAAAAACCCACAGACTGTTCTGTATTATGCAGTGACAACAATCCCTGAGGTCTGCTGCTTCCTGTTGGACTCTCATTTTTTACTTCCTGCATTTGTGATTAAGATGAAAAGAGCACAAAAGGGGTATCTTGTGAAGGAAACTGCCCAACATCATTTGCAAGTTTCATTAGGAGACAATAATAGAGGCTCTATCAACTACGGCCGCAGATAGAATCTGGGCAGATGTCCTCAGGTAGCACAACCTTGAATTTGGCTCCTAAATCTATGAATTAGCCTAACTGAGAGTAAATATCATTTTAAAAAACGCCTAGAGGGAACCAGTTAAGCCAATTAGAAGCGCAGAACTTGCACGTATTTAGAATTTTGCATGGATTCTTAATAGTTATGGATTAAGACTGAAACTCTGAAACTAAACTTGAGAATAAAATAAGGATACTTTTGAGAAATATCTACTAGTCAGTTCAGGCACATGGATTCTAATATCTCCAGCTTTAAGCACCTTTTAAGAAGACCTGAGTACTCACAGTTACTCATTGTCTTCCAGAGATAAGATAACTCAACACCACTCAGAGAACATCTCATATTGACTGAGTAATAAAACAAAAGAGAACAGGGCTGGAAAAGATCTCAAAGGGATTATGGTTCTGTGATTCCTGACAGATCTAACTTACTAAAAATTTCCAGTGATGGATAAACCACAACCATCTTAGACAATCAATATAGTCTTACTACCCTTACCATTAAGGAAGTTTATTTTTTCCTTAACATTACTCCAAATCTCCCCTGTAAACCCACTACTAATTCACTTCTCTTCCCTTTTGCCTTTTCCCCCTTCCCTTTCCTATTCTTCTGTATTCCTCTTGCTATTCACCAAAGATGGAGAGAAAGATTTTATATCTTTTTCTCTTGCAGCAGACTATCACATCTTTCACAACCGTTACCTATAATAAAAAGTAAACCTTTCCATAAAGTAGAAAAGAGCTACCAACTTTTAATGGGTATCTCACAGTCCACTGTAACACTGCTTGTGTGCATAAACTTGCAGGTCTTTCGCATGAAAAATCCGCCAGTTTTGGTGACATGAAAAGAAATGCAAGGTCCAAAGGATGCTTTCGTCTTGCAAGCTCTTCCCTTCTTATTTTCACATTCAACTTTCTTTTGTCATGATCCAATTACTAAATGTTCCTCAAAATCAGAAGAAAAAAAATCCTAAAGCTTTAACCTATGCCATTGCCTTGACTGAGGTAATATATATTATAAAATTCTCATCTCTCTTCTCTTATGGCTTTATAGAGGATGGCTAAAACCCTGAAGGTAAGCGTCTTAACATTCATTAAAATCACTGGGAGTTAAAGACCAAAATAACCTTGAATGTCACATCCACATTTATTTATTTACATTGCAGTATGCAATCAGTTAACTGTACACAAAGTTTAATGTATAGACGGCCATAAAAGCTAAGATATATTGACTTAAAAAAGCAAGGCCTAGCCCACATTTGATGACGTGAGCAGTGTTATGGCCTTCAGGGGAGTAGGTGCTGGAGAACGCTCACTAAGCTATGCATCTGTGGGTCCCCCAGCATTGCTTTTTTCCTTACACCTGGAATTTCACATGAGTAGGGGCTGGTTTAAATGGCAGGGGATTAGCACAGCTGCTGCAGGGTTAAAAGCATAAGGCTCTAACCTGACCTTCACTCTGATGTTCTCACATTTCCCAAGTACCGCAAACAGGATGGTAAGCTGGATTTAAAAGCCGTGTAGGGGTTACGTAATAGAATTCTTAAGTGCTTTAAACTGCTATTGCAGCTTTTCTGTTATTCATATTCTCATTCATATCCTTGACCCCATACCACGTGGAAATCCTGATGTCTACCAAGCAGTCAATAAAATACAGCACAGAGACACGCTCCACATGTTGTGAGTTGTTCTGTTTTAACGCTTGCTTTTTGGACATTTACAAGTTTCTTCCCTGCAGCTGATGATACTGCCTCTGCTTATTTTAACCCTGTTTCACATACTTTTTGCCTGGAGTTTAAGGAAAGCTATTGTCACCACACGTCTAGTCCTGAATTTATTCCTTGCAGAACACACGCAGCTTCTGTAAGACTTGGGTACTGTGGAAAGTACAGCGCAAAACCCAAAACAGACAACATCAAGGACTCCAGCCGTAAGCAAGCAAAGCCAATGTCTCAGACATGTTAGCAAAGCAGGGCACTGCATATGTACATCTGTCTCGTTCTGGCTGTCTATCAAACTTTCTAAGGTAGAATTTATTTTCCTTCATAAATACATGACTGCTGAGCTTCCTGGAGAAAGTGGAGTCAGGAGCATTAACATTTTTGGCTATGGTGGTGATTCCTGTTTCTTTCTTTCATTTTACAATGCCAAATTTCAGTAGCCCCCACTCTAGTGCTTCCCACTTTCCTTGAATAATTCGAGTTCTTCTGTAGTTTGCAGATATGTTGGTTTTCTATAAGCATATAGTTTGTGCCATGCTTAATTCCTCTGGCTCCTTCAGAAACACAGCTGGAACCGCAGGAGCTCTACAACCTGCTGCTCAAAGGATTCCGTATGTTCTCCTGACGCTCTCTCCTGCCGCAGCAATGGCGGCAACGCATCTATTATAGCTTCTCACATTCAGAGTTTGGAACTAGCTTGATCTAATACTATGGTCTTTTCAGCGCTTCATTTTTTCCTTTAGTTTGGCCGTTCTCTAGCTGAATACTTTTTCTGGAATACCACAAATGTTAAAGATTAACCAATTCCTTAGCAAGCTCCTCATTGAGGAAAATAAGAAATAAGAGGATAATGTAAAATAAACATAAGTTTGCAAGCATTAAAATAGTTTACTATTTATAGCACAGCTTATCTTGTAAACAGCCCAAATATTGCATTAATTAGTATTAACCAAACCGCATTGTGAAGAATATGCACAGCAATATGAGCAAAAGCTGGGAAAAGAGTTTTTGTTAAGCTTAATTCTCAACAGGAAATGCAAAGTTTATGTACAGATTCTTGGTGTATTAGAAATCTGTAAATATGTATACAAGGGTTACTCAACCACAAATTCACGGCACATAGGTTACTGCACAAAACTTTTGAGAAATTTGTAAATTGCTTTAAAAATATTTCACCAATTTCCAAAAAATTTTGATTTTGTCCTGCATTTTCCCTCATGCGTACCTAAACCTCAGTTATATGGCTTCTTTGCCAGAGTAAGCCTCATACAGTTGAAGTGTGAGTAACCCCAGTGGATATGCTTAATAATCAGTACACAAACTATACATTAAAATGCCAATTTTGGACTCATGCATGGGTAATACATTTAAGCAAGCACATTTATGCCTTTCTGTGTAGTTAAATGTATGCCCAAGATAAGATCAATGCAAAGTATCTTAGTATATAGATAAATGCAAGATATCTTGCAAGTCCTATTGCAAGAAAATAGTTATCTACTATTTTAGCTCTACGAATATAGTTCAGCAAGAGAAATGAGAAATTACATGCTCCCTTCTGAAAAGACAGATTATCTTTTTTGGAAATGCTAGAGCAGGGAGGAGGAAAAGCTCATGCGCAGTGAATTATTTTTCCCTTTTCTGACAACTATTAAGTTTAAAAAGGGTAAAAAGTGAATTATTATATTGATGTAATGATACAAAATTCAGCTTCTACATGCACCCAATGGCAAAAAGTAACCAATCAAAACTATGAGAAATTGTCAAATAAAAAAATCCTTTGGTTTAAAAAAAGTTTAGCTTTGATCATTTAGAGAAAAGGCGAAGAACACTTCAAGTGCCTTTTCTTGGCAGATGACACACAAGGAAAATCCTTTTAAACAAACTTCCTTTAAAAACCTGTTACCTTCAAAATGATCTCAAATGTAAACATACTAGTGAAGACATAATCTGCATACCCTAGGATCTGGAAGGTAAACAAAAAGTTACAAACATTATTGCTAAAGCTGCTTTTGAGCTAACAAGGATCAATTAACAATGCATTACCTTTAACAGGATTTCAACAGTAAAGATGGCTGTGAAAGCATAGTCAAAGTAACCAAGTATCTGCAAGGTATAATATGTGCCACAGTAAGAAATTCATCTATAAATAAATGTTTACAATTTAGACCACATGCACAAAAATAAATGAATAAACCTAAGCAGGCAGATGGGGAGTTCAGACAATGTAGTTTAAACTTCCAGCTATTGTACAACCATTTCTGTTTACTTAAAAATTTATCAGATGCCACTGTGCTTAGATATAAGATTTCTGCACTAAGGAGTTAACAGGACCCAATATGCACCATTTTCTTTCAATTCAGACTTTCTATCTATCAGCTTTCACAGGTATTTTCCTCGCCTTTAGCAAGGACACAGAATCTTACACAAATAAACATTCCTTATTAATAATAGTGTTTTTTATCACAACATTGCATCAAAAAATTAAATTTCAGTTGATGTTTCTAGACACTACATCATTCTACATTCTGCTGCGTTATATTGTTCCTGCACAGAATTGGCTTTAGAGCCACAAAACAAATTAATGAATAAGTATATTACTTAAAATCAACATTACAGCTATTTTTCCCTGAACACTGAAGATACAGTAGTGATTTATTTGTAGGACATTTAAAAGAATCAACAACAGTTGCATAGTGATATGCAAACTTCTAAAAAGATCATGGATTGATATTGACTTCACTGTTGCTAGTAAAAACACTGCTGTATACTTCAGCAGAACTACAATTTCACCCTTTGAAGCTTGCAGCATCATTAGCACCTCATCTAGTGCACACCACACACCACAGTACTGTACTAGTTTTATTTTCAAGGGAAGTACTCAAGAATCCATCTACCAAAGAGTTCTGCACAGAAACATGGTATCTGTGGTTCAACAGCTAATTAAATGTGAAGGAGAAATAAAATAAAGGAATAACAGGCAAAAAAAAAAGTTCCTATTAGATCAAACGTATGAAAATCTTTTTTCCCCTCTCATTTTCTGCTAAAGATCACATCCTTCTGTCTCTTCCAGTTGCTGAGAAAGCAGGTAAATATTAAAACCATTCAATAAAGATCAATCAGTAAGGAATTCATGCTAGAGTTAAAAGAAAATTTCCAAACGATTCTAGTTTGTTAAACTTGTTTTGTCACTCCTGCACTGTGTTATGAAGTTTAACAGAGAAATGGCGTTGAAACTAAGAGACTCCCCAAACCACTTAGCTACCATGTTCATCAGTGTGTCCAGCAGAGTGTGACTTGTTGGGTCAAGGATACAGCCAATGTGCTGTCCCATTTGCTGGTATCTTACCATGGTAGGATGGCTACATATAACACAATCTTCAGCGAAGAACAAACACAGCATATTCAACATGAAAACCAAAGGATTCCACTCAGTGACTTAAAGGAGTAACTCCTGCTATTAGTAGAAAGCAGCAATATTTGCAGAACGGACCATACACACTAAGACCCATTGGATAGCCATAATATTGAACCTGAGTGACACCTGGAATAAGCAGAGCTAAGTATTGCAGAGACGTAACAGCCAACTGTTGACATCAAACCTTCCAGTATTTTTGAGCCTTCCGGCTTCCAACTCAAAATTTTCACTAAACTCTGACCACTGTCATTCCATAGCAAGTTCTTTCCCTTGCTGAGCTGGTCAGCTGAAGGAAACATGATCATTCAAGGTAATAACAAGAAAAACATGCAGGTCTGGTGCATTTGTGAGTATCTACAGCAAGGACAATGTCCTTCTTGAAATCACTCACACATTTTACCTGCCTGTGTCTCAAACAGAAATAATCCCTTCAGTTACCATCACTCTGGAGTTACATCCTCCTAGCATTCCTCTAGCTACAAAAGGTAGTATTCGCCTTTCAAATCATTTCCACAATAACAATTTCAGTATTGCCTGCCAGTTCTGTTTTTCTTATCCATTAGCTGATCTTTTCATAAGACAGAAGCACACAACTCCACTGAATAGTGCATGAACAGTGTGTTTGTACTTTGACCTCTTTTTACCTTTTAAGAAAGTTTTAGCTTTTTGGTTTTTAGTTTTGTTACTGAAAACATGTTCAGAGAATGTCAATGGCCCAAAGAGGACTCCAGAAGCTATGTCTACATTTCCAAGTACAGTGATATAGCAGCAGAAGTTCTGTCAAAGTATCCCAAAAGTCCTCACAGACTATTACCAAGTTGCATTATCTCAGCTATTTCATACATAATCTAAAGCACACACAACTCACAGTAATTTGAGAGGCTTTTTCTTACTTTATCATTAACATAAGTACAACAACAGTGAGAAAGTTATCATTGGTTCTGAGAGTGGATTCCTTCTTGTTTCTCTGCCTAACAATTATTTATTTGAGTAGCAGGCAATTCTTCTATTGAATTAAGAACTAAAATGGTGGACTCAAAACTTGCTTTAGGAAAAGGCAGATGTTTACTTACCATACATAATACACTTTTACTGAATAATAGAGACATTTCTGTAATTTATATTCTAACACAAATATTTCATTTCTACAACAATATCTAAACAAAGGGATGCAAAAACGCTTCCAAACTTTCAAGTTTACATATAGGCTGAAACTGCGTCTTGACTCTGCACAACTCGCACCCAGCAAGAGCTGAGCATGCTCTGATCCCCCTCCCACATGCAAGTTTAAACAACAGTGAAACTTGTTTTGTTTCTGATTTGGACAATCTGGAATTCAGGATCATCAGGCATTCTGTGGTACTCTAACACATAGTAGGGTGGGTGTACTCTAATCTACTACAAATCAAAGCATTTACATTACTGCCATAAAAACTCATAGAATCGATATTCATCGCACTAGACGCTTTGGAAGCTAACTGTGCTAAGCTCTCCTCTTCGAAAGGAGAGGTAATATCCTTACAAGCACATACACTCACTAACAGAGTGATAGCCTGAGTTCCCTAAGACCAGATAATAGAGTTAATGATGGAGAAGAGAGGACAGGTCAAAGTCAATTCCCAATGCGTTATAAACTGATATATTTACTGTCACTTTTGAATCAGTGCCAAACACTGAGAAGCACTAAGAGTGATTCAGGAAATGCACAGCAGGTACAGCCAGCTGCAAAAATTATGCTCAGCTTGAGCATAATTTTGTTCTGATATATTAATATCCAACATAGGAAGAAAGTTCTGTAGATAATAAATGGTTCTGATATCTCTGCTGTTACACCAATAAAGTTAACTTTCTTTAGAAATTTTTCTTTTTTTTAAGCAAAATATATAAATTTATGACTGGAAAAAGGAAAGGAAAGTTTCTTAATTTGAAAATTAAGAACTGGGCACTAATTCCGAGGATTGTTACTCTATGAGGATACATTTATCTTCAGATATAAAAATGATGGACTTACGTTATTTCGAAAAGAGTGGCTGCGAATTGGATCTTCTGCTGCTAGGGAAACACTGCTCAGCATGATGAAGACAAGGATGAGATTAGTAAAGATGTGGTGATTGATGAGCCTGTGGCATCCCACTCGAATTCTGAAGAAGAGATACAAAAATACATCATGTATGCAAACAGAAATCAGCAGATGGCTTATATACAAAATGTTTTCTATTACTCGGCCAACAATGACAGAAAAGACCAACTATCATCATTTAAAAGGAGTGTAAAGGCTGAAGCTATTACTCTGGCTTATAAAAGTGTAAATGGATTCAGAATGTGATCCATCTCTTGTGAAGGTGGACTTACTGAAGGAATCTATGAGAGAGGACCCCCCAGCTCCTACTGATTTTCAGTAGGTTATGAAATGCTAAACTGCAGTGCTTTTTTGCACTGTGCATATACACAGAGGCCAACATCAACAGCACCAAATGCCAGATAAGTCACTCAGATCCTGAGTTTGATTTGATTCTTATTAAAGCTGTCAAAAATATTCATTTGGCGAGATGTGCGTTAGGCTGTAGATCTCATTATATTTCTTAGAGACTCTATCCAAATCAGAATCTCCTGTGAATACTCTTTTTTACAGTATTATAGGGCAAGTGGATGTTGAAGATTAAACAGATGCTAAGATTTAGCCACGTAATGAAGTGAAACTGTCCATATGCTTAGAGTCATTAAACCCACTGGTATTATGATGTTGTTGAGTACTTCAATGGAGTTGGTCCAGGATTAAATCAGCTAAAAGGCAGGATCGGGTTCATAACTGAATAACATTAAAGTTGTCTGAAATACTCCTCTGATTAATTAGAAGGTTCTTAAGGAAAACCCGTTCTCCTGTTGTTAAGGAGATGATTTGAGCACAGTGTATCTCACTTAAGTAAGATGGCTATTTTGGCCTCAGAGTCTATAGCATTAGTTGAGGCCAAAAGGAATCTGACGTGTTCAGCAAATCTGAAGTTCTTGCATTCAGCATATGCGTTCTTAAAATTACTGATTTAAATAGCTCTCTGTTCCGTGTGTCTGGAAATTCTGAAAAGTATTAGACAACCTATGCAATAAGAAAGATACAAAGAGCCCAAAACATACCTTGACCCACATATCACTGTCTAATCTTAACTGTGAAGACCTCTACCACGGACAAGATAGTGTTCTCCCATGCTAAACAGCTTTTAAGTTACCTTCTGAGACTGCCAATGAGGTTGCTACATAAGAAGATAGCTATGTTCAGTCCTACAGGAACTGGATTCAGCTCACCTATTCACTTCTGTCCAACAATTATATGGTAACAACTTTTACTGATTAATGAAACTTGCTTTCTTCATCACTGCAGAACCAGAAATGCTTCTAGAATTAGAATGAGTGGTGAAAGATTCCAATTCCCCCCCAAATCCAACTTTTTAAAAATTATTGTTAACATCTTTTGTCTTTATCTTTACTGCTTGCTTGCATCTTGAATCTGCAAAAATACTGTCATCCCAAGAGGAATACATACATCCTTTCTCCTTATCTCTTATTTTCTCCTCTCTTTCCTCACCCTTATTGCGCCACAAATGATAACGCTGTTTGTAGTGTTACTAAGCATCCTATCTTACGTAGGAAATGCTCACACCTTACTTCATGCTCTTTATTACCGACTGACTACCACACTAATTAATTCATACATATTAAATGGTATTTTCAGACCTTTGCAGGCCTGACAGACTATAGGTACAAAATTACCTTTGGCAGAGGGAAGCAAACTATTATATTTAACAATTCTTTTTAATTAGCAAATCATGTAAAAATTTTAGCACAGAAACCAATCTCTCTCTTGTTGAAGACTTTGGAGTGCTATCCCTAACCTCAGCAGAAGCAGGCCTCTTTCTTCAGTGATAAACCTTGAGGGGCTAAATCAGTATTTTTATAAATGACACTTACGGATTGGTGCTGCTGAAAATGAAGAAGGCACTCCCTTCGGGGATTGGTGTTATCTTCTCCTTCATATTTAGTTCTGATATTCTTCGGGGACGTGGGCCTGCTGGTACCTCTGGTTCGTCCTCCTCATCTTCCTCATCTTCACCTACTTTAAATTAAACACTTTTTTACTATAAAATAAAAAAAATTGAGTTTTTGTTCATAACAGTATAAAAGTGTGGCTTGTATTAAAATATATATTTAGCATGGCCTTAAAAAATCTGTGATTCAATACATGAATATCTATCTAGTTGTCATGGACTTATATACATATATACGTGTAATGCAAGTATGCCAGGGCCCTGAGGGCACTAACAGGCCTTAATGGCCTTGCCCAGACTCACCTGGGGCCTCCACCCACACCCCTGCCCAAGGACCCAGGATCTCCATTTCAGCTCATCCTGGGACCTTCACTCCCTGCCTGAGCTATGCTGGAGGAGTGCGGGTCTCCAGTTCAGTCACAGCCATGCCTGTACCTGGCCATGGATCCTGTTGATCTGGATCCTGACCCACGGACTGACTTCCCAGCTTGCCCTCGGACCTCTCTCATCACTATAGAGCTGCGTGGTGATCACTGGACTGTCTTACTCTGGTCATCCACACTAGATGTGATCCTTACCCTGACCTGTGGAGTGACTTCTCGACTTGCCCTCAGACCTGCCTTATCACCATGAACTTCCCTGATGATTTGGACTGCTCCTGGCTCAACCTAGTTACCATCTCCAGGCCTGCCCTGCTCATCTTTCTTGGGTACTGTGGGGCTGAGCCCTGGCTGGTAAGGTCCCTGCCCTGATGGCTGTGTTATCTGGCTTTAGGGAGCAGCTGGCCCTCACTGCTCTCTGACAGGGCATCTAGAATATATCACACCAAATAAAGGGATATATACACATATGTAATAACAGGAACGCATAGGGAGGTTTTAAAGGCACTTACTCGTATAAGTCCAAGGAAAAAAATGGTGCTTTAATTCAAAGCATTTTTAACAGCTTACGGCTGGGTGTGGAAGTGATCTTAGGAGAGTTCTCAACATCTTTTTAAATGCCTCTGAGGATGGAGATTGCAAAACCTCTCTACCTAAAAATTTTCCACTTTTGTATATGTCAAACCCTCACGTATCAATGTCAAAGTAAACAGACTCTATGAACTAGTTGAGCACTGAGGTAGGTGCTCAAAAGGTAGTCAAGAACAAGATTTCTCTAACAGGAATCCAGCCAATCTGACAGAATTTACTTTTAAATAAATGTATTCACGAGACCGGAAGAAGCCAAGACAACAGTAATCAAATATCACGAACTCTGGAATGCCCCTTTTAGCCAAACATTTCAAAGAAATTTAAAATTCCCTCTCACATCCAGGTAGGTAATACCAGAGCAGTTTTCAGGCTCATAGTGTTAATACTCTCAAGCTGTTTGGACTGCCTAGTGAGCTGCAGGAAAAGATAGTATTTTGCAATTTATAGGCCCATTTATCCACTGAGAACAGAGTACAACTTCACTGACCTCAAAGAAATTGATTCAGAATTCAGGGACAGTAAGTTTAGCGTACTTTAGCAAACAAATGTTTGTTTTCTAGCTGGTAGGTCCCATACCTGGTACATCACAGGGTGGATAGGGATCTTTATCCTCATCCTCTCCTTCTCCATATTCAGCAATTGTCACCTATGACAATGAAGGAGACAGATCAGAAGAAAAATAAATTTCAGTATAGCTTGGAGTACAACATTGAATCAAGAGCAAATCAAATAAGCCTCTGAAACGAGGGAAGTAATCCCCATGCCTGCTCTCTGAGGTTCTCAGTACAGAATAACTTTGAGAATGGAGGAGATCTGACATTGCAATATGTATTTTTTAAAAATGAATTTTTTATAATTTTTATGGCTGTATAGATTACAATAAGAACAAAACTAACCGGCTTCTTTGGAAATTATCTAGAATACTTAAATATTCTATGAAGAGTTTATCATTCGCTAATCTCTTCCGTGGATTTTCAGCCAAAATACCTACAGGGATCTTAAAAGTAACGTCAAATTTGTCCATCATTAACTATTTCATGCTCTAAGAGCTTTCCTCCCAAGGATTCTCTGAAACCAAAAGAAACTTCTAGGTTAAGAGATTCTCCGAGGATGTAAATCACCAGAACTAAGTTTTCTGACCTTTGCCTGAAAAAGGGATGTAGGTATGATGGATTCATATCAGAAATCACACAGTGCACTGTAGACTTAAGTCTTCCTAAGTAGAATTACTAATACAGCTTCTTCACTAAGATACAATTTTCAAAATAAATACCTTATTATCCTTGGGCTTCTTTTGGTCACTTTCCGACTTCTCACTTTTTTTATTTTCCAGACTCTCTTTTCTACAAAAAAAAAATCCCAGCAAATTACAAGGCACATCGTATTACAACAGAAGACTTTAAGTGAGCTACACTTATTTTATGAAAAGTTAAGAAAATATACCTAAAATATACCTAAACATATAGTAAAATATCTAAATTGATTTGAACAGTGGTAAATACCAGCACAATAAAATTTATTGCGTTTGAATGCACTTGATCCATTTAAAAGATTATCATTTTGAATATAATTCCAGAAGCTAATTCAATGGGTAATCATTACTCCTTTCTGTGGGGATAAACTGTGCCCTTGGATTCATACAAACAACTTGTATGGACTCCAATAGGCCAGTACTCATTTCAAATGAAGGTTTTCTTCTTGGCTATATAAGACTTACAGAATCGATTCCACAGGGAGTTGTGCACCAGCAACAACAGATACATGCTTGCCCTAACTGTGCAATAAAATTCTACCATTGCAATGTTTAAATATCAGTTGGCTTATCATTATGTCCTTAGTTCATCCCATTTGCCCAATTATTAGCCAACTTTTATCTAAAATCATATTAATTGGGTCTTGCTTTAATGTTTAGGTAAATTCTTTTATGTTTTTTTCCTGTGTCTAATAACCTTTGAAGATGGTGAAAGTGTTTATATAAAGAAAACCCTCCTAAGAGAAAGGACTCAGTACTCCCTTCCTCCCCTCTCTTGCTCAATGTACTTGTGTGATTTTACCTCGCATTCTTTTTCCGTTCCTTTTCTTCTGCTTCTTCTTTCTGAGCTGTATTCAGACTTTCAGCGTCTGCCAAGTTATCCACAGCAATGGCCAAGAAAACATTTAGCAAGATATCTATTTCAAATCAGTTTAAGGGCATTATGTGTTATTGCACTTGTGTGGTTTAGTATTAGCATAAACATTGACAATGTGAGAGACATGAAACCCATGTTCCCAACCTAAGTGTAGAGATATGTAATGCTGCAGGGTAGTGCTAATAACACTCACTTAATGGACCAGATTAATACTGGGTGTAAAATAAGCAGGGATTCATTAAAACCAGCAATTTTAACACAGTAGAGTACTTGACGTTTTGTAAATAAATGAAATGTACATTTACACTAGCACGAGCAAGTTTCAAGTATGAAATACTGTCTTTTAGAAGTCTGCTTAGGCATTCCGAAAAATTTATTTTTATAATGCACTATTTTCTGTGTCAATGACAATCTATATCAAATCCCATACTTTAGTCTGTATCAGTTAAGTACCAATAGTGATACAAGTACCATATAGTACAGAAAATAGAATGTTTTTGCCCTTTTATTACCTCTCGACCTTTTAAGAACTTAGGAGAATGACATTAGTTTCTGTTGCTAAATGCGGGGCAATAGAGTACTTCCAGGAAACTGAAGGCAGGGAAGGGAAATTCTTTGGTGAACTTAATCCTCACTGACTCAACATTTCTCCTTGCCAACTTCTCTCATCTGATCTCCGCCCTCTACAGTGGATTACTGGCTCCACTGTCAGAGTGTGTCAGAACGAACACAGCTATACCAAGCATCAAAAGGATGACTGGGAAATTACTATCATAGAGAGCAGACTACATCCATGCGTTCTGAGAAAGAGAGATGTCAAACAGAAACAAGCAAGTAGAATAAGGCTGTTTTCCCACTGAAGGAAGAAAGAGAAAATGCTCTGGTTTCTGCCAGCGGGGTGGTTGGGGATGCACTCAGAGATCACCAGAGTCTGCCTCATCACAGAATATAAAAGGGAATAGGTGTACGAAAGGAAACCTATTTAAAGGGCCTAGCACAGACAGAACGAGCATGCACATCCACAGCAACTTACTCCATCCTAGACAAATTTTGCCTATGTCCTTGGTGTGGTTACGCCCTGGCATATAGCCCCATTTGGAAATGTTTCCAGTGAATGCAAAGGATACAGTTACCACAGATGAAGAGGATAATGAAATATATACAGACTATCATTCCTGATGATGATGGGCCACCATATGCCATTATGCCATCATACATAACAGCATTCCAGTCTTCACCTGTTAGAATCTAAGAAGCAGATATATTATTAATAATCCAACAAAAATAGTAAAAAAAGAATTATTTCCTCTGACAACAATATACAGTAAAGCTAGCGTTCTTTGTTCAAAAGTAATACCATAGTCTTTTTAATAATATGCAACGTTTTAAAATTTCCATTTAAATAAGCATCTCTTGAAAGCCTGGGTTTAACCCTACTGGTTTTTACTTCATGCTAAGCATTTACATAGTGAAGTTCGAAGGCAAAAGTAATAAAAATAGAAGCCTATAATTTTATTGACATTGGTACACAGAAGAGGCCTGATTTTCAGTAATGCAACATATCTAGTGATATACCACATTTATCTATCTTGGTAGCTATTTTAAACTGAATGGAACTCAGCTGCTGTGGGAGAATTACCTGATTTTCTTATTTCCTATTGTTTCACATAATTTTACCAAAGTCTAAAAGAAGAATTTTATGGAAATCTGTCAATTAGTTAAAAGAAGGATAGCTTATATTTGGGCAAATATACTTTTTTCTGTATTACTATTTTGTACTACTAAGATTCCGAGTATTACAACTCAGGTTATAGAGATACTTCATACACTTCTAAGTAATTTCTTAAACATTACTAGTTCTACCTTGGGAAAACATTTCATACTAACTCTCCTTCCAAGTAATTATATGGCTGTTCAAGAAAATCATAGACACGTCAAGTTCCAAAATATGAAACTGAAGGAAATTTTCTTTGAAAATCAGGCAACCTAAAACACGAATAAAGCCCAACTTGGCTGAGTTTGAAAGTACTGCCTTCAGTTTTTAAAGGGGCAATGTCAGGTCTAATGTGGATACTTTTCTTCTTAAGAAAGTTTCTCAGTAAAATTTCCTTATGTCAAAATAAGGTGAAAGATTTTTTGCTTGCTCCAGACAGTCACCAGATGAAAATTCTATGCAGGTGATGGGAAGCTGACACAGAGTCAAGTCTTGCAGGGCCAGCTCTAAACACTCACCCACAATGTCTGAAACCAAACATTGTGGCAATGTGCAATGCCTGCAAAGCTGAACATGAAAATGACTAGAAAGACGAACTGATTAGCCTGATTCCAGGGTCCAAACTGAGAAAAGTAAAAGAAACATCATGAAATAGTGAAAAATAAACTGTAAACAGGGCTCTAATTCTACTAATCTTTTCACAAGTAATAGACAAGATGTTTTAAAATGATATTAAACCTGACAGTGTCTCTTTAGAGATATTCATACTTATTTTATATTAGAGTAAGTGATATGACCATATGCAAATATGCACTTTTACAGTGCTTCTCAATTTTTCCTGCTTGGGAATAGCTGAACTCTTATATAGATAATTAATTTAAAGAAAATATTCTAACTAAAATAAAATAACATTCCACCTCTTTGATGGACAAAGAAGATTTAATTTAATGAAGTAATATGACAGCTATGTTGCATAGATAGATCAAATAAGACATGAAACAAATGGTACAAATGGTGCAGAACTACCAGAGTACTGAATTTAATGAGCAAAATGCTACTTAAAGTAAACTGAATAAACAGTATTTGTGACTTTATTTTCAAGAAACATGATCACTTAAACAGTTTTGTTGATCATCAAAGGTAAAATGTTTCATAGGGGGTGAAAGAAAGTTACCTGGAATACAGTTAAAAGAGCTTGTGGAAAATTATCGAAGGTGCTCCGTTTTGTTTGAGTTTCATCAAAATTAAATTTGCCTCCAAACAGCTGCATTCCAAGCAACGAGAAGATTATGATGAAGAGGAAAAGCAGAAGCAACAGTGAAGCAATGGACTTCATTGAGTTTAACAAGGATGCTACCAAGTTGCTCAGGGATGCCCAGTGCCTATAAATTAAAATGCGTGTGTTAACCCACACACACACACACACACGCACACGCACACACACACACAAAAACAGTAAAAGAGCAGCGCGTGATGAAGTATTACAAAAGAATTGCTGATCACCATTCAACTATCCTTAAAATACGCAATATTAGTTAATCTTACCTTGTTACTTTAAAAATACGCAGGAGACGAACGCAGCGAAACACCGAAATTCCAAGGGGTGACATAATTTCCAGTTCCACCAAAATGGTTTCAACAATGCCACCACAAACAACGAAGCAATCAAAGCGGTTAAAAAGAGATACAAAATAAGCCTGCAGGCCCAAGCTGTACATCTTTACTAACATTTCACAGGTGAATAAAGCCAGAAGAACTTTATTTGCGATATCTGAAACAAAATATTTTTAAAAATCATGACATTTCTGAATTGCCTTATTGACTCCATTTTTCCTTTCGCATACTATTTCTGCACTTTATATACTAGTTTGCAGCCTTTTAGCTAAGAGGGAAGTAAAGGCTGATTCTTCACATTGGGCAGTATTTTTACACAAGGTTTTACATTACTTTACAGCCTCCCGCCACCTAAAAACTCTTCATCTTTTCAATCTATTGTGGAGCGTGCTCACAGCTTGAGTCCACACTTGATCTCAACCAATATAGCCCACAGTACCAGTATGCCAGTTACCATTTCCTTTCTCATCTTTCAAGCACAGTTAAACAACAAAAACACAGGTATTTACAATCTAGTATTGTCAGGTTTTTGCTGGTATGCCACTAAGCTGTGTTACAGTTGCGAGAATCTAATATATTCAGTCATTTCTTGTATCTCTCTCTGGCTGAACATCCTTCAGGACAGCAACAAACAATAAAATGGCAAAGTACAAAAGCAGGCACTGATAGAATGTAACTACCCATAGTTAAGAATAGGACAAATAATTTTTGATAGTACCTTGGATCTGGGTCAGCCAGTCAGGTTGATTATAATGCTCCGATGAGATAGTTAATGTGTTCAGAAAGACCAAGACAATAACAAGCCAATAAAACGTGACAGATTTTACTGCAGCTCTACATTTTCTTCGATTAAATCGATTCCAGCGACGCCAGCGTCGACTGAAAGTTCAAGTAAAAAAAAAAAAAAGTATTATTATATAGAAAATACACATGAATATGAGAAGAGTTTCTTCTGTGCGGAAAATATAGTGCAAATATGTATGCATGAGTAGGTGTATTTACATAAATATGTGCATAGCATTTAAGATAGTTGTATAAATTATTACCAGCTGCAGATTAGGGGGTACTAATTTCTTTTTCATTTTTTAAGATTTGGTTATAGATTTTTAAACAAACTACAACCATTGGAGACTAATTGCCTGCAACATGATTAGATTGAGCTGCACTTAACATTTGGTAACAAGATAAATATATGTGGTCTGGGAAGACAGATTTAATAGCAGTAAAGAAAAGCCCAAAAAGCAGTTGTAAGCTGAATTTAGACTACACTTAGTCTGAAACTGTAGGCTTTGAGTTAAACCATGCACACAATTCAGGCAGCATTAAAGACGACAGAAACTTTGAGGTAAACTTTTCTAAATCTACCCCATCATGTTAGAAATAACAGTTAGCAACTCCTAAAGGTTTCTACTGATGTACCTTGAAAGAGTTTCAGTGGGTAAATGTTTGAGAGATGACTCAGGGTGACAATCAAGGATGAGAAAACAAGCCCTATCTAGATACAAGTTGGATTCATAAGTGAGGGCAATTTCAGTTGAATTCAATAAAATTGAATTCAATTTCTGCTTCACCCCGGTAACTTGGGGAAACCAATTAGTACCCCTGGGCTGCACTTCCATTTGTGAACTATATTGCTGGCTCATAGGAAGAGGAGGACTAGGAAGCACTAGATATTACCTAAATGGGAACCAGATAAAATTCACACACCCAGAACTACAACTGTGGACTCAGACAATAAACTTTAGCTGCTGACAAGTATTATTTCACCCAAAATTCAAGGGACAGAGCAGGCAAAGACTTCAATGGAAGCTTGAGCTAGCCCTAAAATAGCAAAGAACTGAAAGAAGTGCGCATAAGCTCTTTCCTCTGCAGTTTCACAAATAAGTTAGTCTAGCATAAATCTGCTGTGATGGAAATGGGTTGGTCTGCCCTCCCTATCCTTCCCTTTTGCCAAAACTAGCCTTAATGTGGTGAGCCAGAACAGAGAATTGACTGCTGGAGACCAACTTCTTTTCTCTGGGTCAGTTGTCTGATCCAATTCATTGTATTGCTGCATCACAAAAAGAGCAGGAAGAATGAGTGGCTAAGTCAGGGGGAAAGGCACTACAGCCCTTTTGGCAGTATCACAAATTCAGGGTGGACCAACACAAAACTACGGCATATGAAGATTGTTACAAATAACTAGATGAACTTGTTAATGCTTTTAGTACCTGAATTAGCAGGTACTGTATTTAGTACACATAAAATCAGAAACGCTTTAAGTCTACCTCAGGTAGTAGATCCAATATGCAATAACATATTCAAGCATTAACTGAGTTTTCCTTATGCACCTTAAATTTGTGCTTGTAGTAATGGAAATTAATACTGGTTTCAGATATTGGTACAAAGATGTTTCATGCTCTTACACTATTATAAGCATACGTAGAAAAATGCTCTGTCCTGACCTAATAAAACATGGTATTCAAGATTATTCTTATCTTGCCAGTCCCCTGCTAAACAGCATTATGCCCACAGCCATCATCAGGATAGCTTACTTCTGGGTAAGCAAAACAGCATTTTTTACACTTACAGAACATCCTACCATTGAAGTCAATTAGACAAGCATAATACTGTTTGGATATCTCTGCTCATGTGAGCCAAGAGCCATCTCTAAGTGCGTAACTCATAACTCACTGAAGCCAATGGGATGGCTTTTTTGGAAAGGTCCACAGATTCAGCAATAGAACAGTTTAGCTAAATGGTGTACATATGAAAATACTGCCCAAAGGGTATGCAGTGGCACTCACAAGTAGAAATGTTTGAAAAGTACGAACACATGTAATAAGTCTACAGAAATAAAGCAAGACCTCAACATGGAGAATAGCACGTTTTTTCTACCTTCAGTAGATCTGTACACCTAAAGAAATAAAGAGAAAATAGCAGACCAAGACAGATGGCCTGTTTTGAAAGAAAAACTTGTGGCTACATAAAACCTGAAAAAAAAATTACACAATTTTCACTCAATAGTTGTCTATTTTTCAGTAACTGCTCCTCTTAGTATTAAAATAAAAGCATATTCTTGTAACAGAAGGATGAAATGTAGCCTTTTATTTTGAAGTGAAATTCCATTTTGCATAAATTTGCAATGATATAATGCTCTTCTTATGAAATTATCAAGCACAAAATGTAGCAGTCTTGAATAAACATTCAAATCACAAAGGACTCTTGTAATTGATATAATTTATTACAACACATCAAATTATTCACTGCTTTCAATTTCTTTCATTCATATATTCATGTTTAGCTGGTCCTTTAGGATCCAGTCTTACATTTGAATCCACACATGGGAAATCCAGCCGTGCACTGAGTGTGACTGAACTTGGTGTCAGTCAGCCTCACACAGCCTATGAACTTTAGCTGGGTTACTTTCTGCCAGCATGCTTGCATACTCATTCAGAATTGCTACTAGACCTATGCAAAACTGTGAACATTCATTTTATTTTCAGATTATTTTGTATCAGCAACACTTCACCGTATCATGACATTTTTCTGAATTAGATGTTCTTGTTAGAAGCACATGCGTAATTCCTCTATCTGTGAAACTAGATAGAGGTGCCTCATATTTTCACTAGGCAGCTCACAGAGATCTAAAGACTGATGCCCAAAATTAGGAACACCTTTGTAACTGTGGGCATTAACGTCTATGAGGAGACTTCAGATTTCACTACTGTTCTTTATAAAATAAACGATAGAATAATTGTGCCAGAGCATGAAAAAATACAAGCCCTTAAGATTAGTTTTCTGTTCCTCATTTTTGTGACCACAGGATTCAAAGCATAAGATTAGCTTTTCAGCGTGACTTAAAAGGTTCATACAATCATGCACCCATACTGACAAACGGGGAAGTGAATTCTTATAGAGAGAGACCTTCACAGAGGACAAGGTACAAAAATGTCTTCTCTTTAACTAGCAGAAATCCATCCTCCTCTAATCACAGCTATCTCTCTTCCATGTGAGGAGAGAAACAGTTGATCTAGTATCAAAGTGTCTCAAATTCCACCTGGAAGGCTACAAATAGGCTGCACATAATCATATACCAATATACACCCTAACACAATGTTTGGTTGATACAAATCTGCACTTAATAAATTGGCAGATAATTGCTGTATCTTGCTCAGATGTAATTCTCTTGATTAAGTACCCATCTGACTGTACAGAAACATACTTTGGAGCATTAACTTCTATTTCCACTTGCAGTACAGCAGGTCAGCTAGCTTGGAATAAAAAGCATTTTCTATTTTGATACAAAGGCTAAGAAGTTTACGGTCAAAGCAATGTCCTTGAGAAACTATGTCTCGAGTTATTTTACCCTGAGACATGGTGTACCACGCACTGCAGAATAACATCCCTGATGTCGGAGTGAGGATCAGGCCAGATCAGAAGAGTGACATACAGACTGATTTCCCTGAGATTTTGAACTTGAGTTAGAACGTGTCAGGACATTAGTGACAGCCGAGCACATAATCTAGGGCTTTTGTTGCATAAATGATTATCTTTGTATTTTAAGTAAAGACAGCTTTTTGGAAATCAGAATGGAAAAGCTTTCAAATTACAGACAACCCACTTTAGGAGATCAAAAATAAGAGTCTTCCCTGGGTTAGATCCAAATCTGAAATGAGATAGCAAAGTCTTCTTCTGACTTACACATATCAGAACAATGGATTTTGCAAATATGAGCAGTTAAGTATCCAGAAGCAACAGGATCAGAAGTACAGTGAGTCTGCAGCTCATTACAGAGACAGAAGACCAGATACACTCAGACATTCTGTCTTGCAAGTAACTTTTCTTAGTCTCCTTTGACTAATACCAATGTCAGGTTCAGGTAGGAATTTTCCTTTCTCAAAGATACTCTATAAGATATCACTTAGCAGAACTTCTGGAGTTCTGTGTCTCATTTTCTTTAACACATAAATAATGGTTATTGCTCAGAATACAGGCATTACTTGGCTTTCTCTGTAATGCTTCTACAAGTTCCTGCTGTGCAAACAGACCAAACTCAGACAGCATGGTATAATGGCAGTCTGTTGCACTGCCTGGCATTTGCAGCTTCCTGTGACCACTTCAGATTCAAGTTCATCCTTTGAAAATAATGCTGAGTAGGCTTCACAGCAATAGATAGCATGCTACGGGGTTGACTGGAGACAATCTCATGATTCAAGATAATTATGCTATTTGCGGATTCTGAGCTAATGAAATATTAAACAAATGGTAGTTTCATTTGTTCCACTGTGATAGTAAATGGAAATGATGAAAAGAGAAATGGTACAGAGTATTAGCATATTGAATCACTTCATTAACCTAAAAGTAGTCTCATCTTTTACAGATATTTGTCGTGAAGGGTCAAGCTCAAAGGTCCCCATGGACCTAACTGGCCCATTTAGTTGGTGTAGTTAAGGCCAGTTTCTGTAGCAAAGGCATCCAAAAAATGGTACAGCTTTTATCACTGACGACATAACCTCTAAAAAGTTAATCAGTTCTGCACTGACTGCCATCCTAAATGGCCATATCTCCACTGGCCACACGCTTCAGCAAAAGTCTAAGCGATCCATTTTTATATGCTGTCACCAGTTTGCTGTCTGAAAGTGGTGACAAAGTAAAGCTTGATCATTGTGCCACATGAAAAGACTCTAAGCACCAGTAACTGTCGACTGGGAGCTATCTTCAAAAAAAGAAAGACGAGCATTCACTCCAACTCCGGCTTACAACTGATAAGTCAGCCTTGTAGACCATTAAAGCTCATAAGGCTAGTAGAATAAACCTGGGAATGCTGTTCCTCTTTGTTGCTGCAAGGAAAATACTTTGTTGTTATTCACTACACACCCAAGCCTGAAATCAGTTTTACTCAGTGTTGGAACTTCTCATTATATTCCTGACTGTCCCTTCGTTCACTGAAAAATTTTGATGAAAAATATATATCCAGCGGGGTGTCTGCAACTGTTGGAGTATCTCTGCCCTTCGTGATTCGTTATGTCTGCCACTTAATTCCTTACCTAAGTCACACTGCGCTTTTCTTGTTCCTGAATGGAGCAATCTAAGCTTTTTAAATAGAAAGAGGTCTCCCTCCTGTGTTTGCAATTACCCTTTGCAATTGCTCAATACGTATTCTGTAGGACTGGAAAATAAAAGTAAAATAAATCCCCCTATTCATTTGGTACCAGCATGTCAACACCATCAGCACTATTAATTCTTAATTCTCCTCATGATACTTCCTTTCTGCAAGGATCCTTGCAAATAAAAACTCCTTTTCCTGAACGTTCCTCAATAAGTGAGAAGAGAACCACAAATATGAGTAAAACAAATTGAAGAGTTTTATTCCCAGGAATGTTAATGAATACTTTTCTGTCGTATTCACCAGTAACTTTTAGGAAAAATTTTCACACAGTAAGACCAAGTACAGCAAATGAAGAGTAATTATATGGGATCAACATGATATGTAAATAGTACCATGAAAAAAAGTGATGAAAAGAGATAGGAAAATACTGACCTGAATTTGGATTTTGAGATAGTTTGACTAAAAGAAAAGGAAAACACATTGTAAAAAAGCACATTGAAAATTAACACAAATTCATTCTCTTTGTGCAACTGTGAACCGTGCAACTGAAAATCAACACACTAGAATTATTCAGAGCTTATGCATAAAAATGAGCTCTCAACAAAAAGCTTCATGAATGCTGGAATACTATTGCCTGTATTTGTGCTATCTGCTGTAACACCATTCACAAAGCTTTACAAATTTTCAAAGTGAAAAAAAGGAAATCCTTTAAAGCTAAGTCTGAGGCTAAACAAACTGCTCATGTAGAAGCTGCTTAGAAGCCATGAAAATCTGAGTAATTGAATAGTGAATAACATGGCATTACACAAATATTCCCATATATTCAGTTATTGCCAACAAAATATATATTCTGTGCATGCACAAATTAACAGAATGTCACAGGTGACTTCTGTTTTTTTCTTATTATCTTGGAAAATAATTATATGCTACAAAAGCTTTCAAAAAAGTAAGACTCCTCTGGCAAGTTGGTGGCATTTATCTACATCTTCCTAAATTGAAATTTTAGGGGTGCTTTAATGCTATAATAACTAGTCTAAGATAAAACCCGTAAAAGGCAAAAACCAGGGGTCACATATGACTATTTGAAAGAAATTTAGGCTGAATAAACAACAGGGAGAGAATAATTCTTTTTAATTTTGAGATACTGAGAGCGCTTGGATATAGTTTTCAGTCTGTATGTACTCACCATAAGCTCCCACAGCATGCTGGGTTCTCTCCTTCTCCACTCACATTCTCTGTGTTCACTGACTCAGTTTCACTAGTGGGCATGCTTGCTATTAGGAGATAGAAACTGGTTTAAATTGAGAGCTAAGCACAGCAAGTTACTCAGAATCTGCTCTCCTGTTCTATTACAAGAATGCCTCCACTTTTTGCAGGTCTAATGAGACCTGCAAAACCTCAGACCTTAGAAGGTCTGAGGAATATCAGATGATTAAAAAGACCTTTCATCGGTCTTCATCTTATAACAAGAGAAACACAATTCCAGAACGTAGTACGGCTTTTTTCGCTTCACTTCAATGATTCAACATAACTGTTGAAAACACACTACAGAAAATGCACTACTACAGAACACAACGCAGAGGAATTTCATAACAAAGAGCATGCTGTCCCTAATAAAGAAACAAACCTCAGCCAGATTTTTGTGACCTCTTATTATAAGAAGTGTTTCATTACCACTTCGGAGGTGCTTGTCAGTTAACATGCTTGCTGATTCCAAGAAACGCCATCAAAATTCCTCTGAAAACAGACGCTATCGTACTCCGATCCTACTGAATGCTCTATGCTTTTGTTTCCATTATGAAATATTAAGGCAAAAGCCTAGGAAGTAGCTGTGCCTGCACATATTATAAGAGTAGACAGGAAGGAGCATTGGGAATGACAGAACGGGCAGTACAAAGGATAATGAGGATTACTAATAATAAAAAGGGTATTATTATGTTTGTTACACATCAGTGAATTACTGTGCATAGGGTGGAATTCATTACTGAATAGTTAGCAATTGTAGCTAATGGTTTGTTAGACAAAACTCATTTCCTCATTGGTCATGGCCACTTATCTCCAAATCAACTGAAATACACAAAAAGGACAACATATGCCAAAAGGTGTTAGGAAAGGGCAAACAAACAGAGCTCTCGGTACTTTCCAGGGACAACACTACTTCTGGGTCTGCAAAGCAAGCATGAAAGGAAAATCTTGGGAACAGCAAAGCATACAATTAGCGTTGCTGATTTTATATAAGAAATATTACATAAAGTAGGAAAAATAAGAGAGAAGCAGGAGGATGCACTGAAATTACTGCAGAACTGCAAGAACTTAAGTGTAGTAGAGTATCTTAAAGTTGTTCAGGAGTGTACCTGCTACTGTTTTGGTTTAGTTTTTCTAAGCCCATGTCTCTGGAATGACAGTATTGAAGGCTGAAGTGCTATATGCCCATTTCTATTAGGTACCTCTTATTACTGTGGTAGCCTAAATAAGCCTTAAAGGGGGCTTAATTACACATATCTTAATGTAAGGGAAAATCAGGCCCTGAATTTTCTGAATTTTTTGTCTATGGATTAGGGACAAAATGAAAACTCTTTGTAACAGCTTCTCCCCACAGCCTCTATATTGCCTCAGTACTGGCCTAGAGATACATCTAAGTGGTAAATGGTAGTTCAGTTTCCCTGTCCATTAATTCCATACTGAATGCCAACACACTGACAGGTCCAAGCAGGCTTGATGCTCAGCTGGTACTTGCAATCAGCTGAGAATCTGTCCCCACAAATATGTCACCATTACATGAAAATTTTAACACAGAGTTGGCATAATGGAGAAAAGATGCAAGATACAAAATGTCCATGCAGGTGTTTGCATAAAACAAGACAGTTCAGGCAGTAAGCATAGCAAAACCTTCTTTCGCAGTGTTCTTAAATGGCACTTAAAAAGTTGCTATTTCTTTCATTTTTCTAAAAAGGAGTATTTTAAAGACAACCTTATTTTGCTGACCTAACAACTTTTTTTACTTATCTGTCTATATCTAAGTAACATGTTTTCAAGAACTTTCTAAAGGTTGGCATTTTAAAGACTGACCAAGTGTGGGCAATTTAAATAGTCCATAATTGAAGTATTTCAGACAGCCTTGAATTGTAATTCTAAGTAATTTTCCAGAGAGCCTTCCAATAGCCACATATCTCCTAATTTCTCAGACTGAGTAGTAAGGCTGTTCAAAGCATGGGTGAATTGGTCAAGATGACATACTTGCTTGATGGAAGTGTAACGTTGCTATGTTTGTAAGTTCGGGCCATCTCTTCAATGCCTCTTTCAAGTAAAAATGCCTTTGAAAGTAATGTATGTTAAATTCAAACAAATAGAACAGAATTCAGTTCTGAACTCGAAATCCTATTTAATATTCAGCGAAATAAATGTAACATATTGAACCTAGCTAGGAGGAGTTACTACTTCTTTAAGTAGTACTGCCTACTAGTAGAACGGTTTAGCACTTTCTACTACAAGAGCCTGCTTCTACCCTTTCACCAACCTATATCTGAACTGTGAAATTTGAATGCTGGATACTTTGAGAGAATTTCAGACAAAAAATTTATATATGAGGATAAGAAAATAGTTCCCTTCTTTCATGATAAAATATTGAGCCTTTAAACAGTTTCCAGATTTCAAACTCCCATCCACGACATAACAGAGCATAACAAAGAGCAGGTCAGTGTCCATCAGAACTGACATATCCTAGCTGGATGCAGCTGGAATAAAGAAATTCCAATATCTCTACTATGTGACAGTTTAGTGTCACTATGGAATATAGAAGCAAGCTAAACTACAGCCTGAATTGTTAGCTCTGGTGGTATGTATTTTTGTTGCAAATGTTCTCTGCTATAACTTCTATTTTATTCTGGCTCAGCTTCAGTTACATATTCTTGATCCATAGGCTGATCTCTTTTCCACAGTGATGCACCTTGAGTATGTGCTGAAGGAAAATATCTGCAAAAGTGCAGTGATCTGTACAGCTAACACCTAGAATAATCAGTAATAGCTACTGGACAGAATCTTGCAGTTATTTAAACATGATGCTATACTGGCAACATTTTAGAGAAAAGTTTGCAAAATGGCCTTCTTCTGCCTTCTACTAATATACAACTACTTCCATGAGTTCCGAAATTGTCTTAATTCTTTCTCAATTCAGTACATGGATTTCCTGCATTTTTTATGTGAAATCTTTGATGTAGTCAATTAAGAAAGCAGAACAAAAACAAAAAAAGACTCAATATTTTCATTATAAATTCCTCACAAATTTTCTTAAACCTGCTGTACGCCCAGAAAACACACATTAGGAAGAAGTGCTACTATCTACTCTGGCTGTAAAGCCCCTCAGGATAAATTCAGTTCAAGGAGAGGTTGCTTAAAAGGAAGCGTTCCACATGATATTGTATCTAGGCATATGTTTAAATAGCGTAGACTTGATTTTGATCCTGTCAGCATTCATTCTGATAGGCTCTCTCTTTTAACCAGTATCCCATGGAAACTCAAGATACGGTTGAACAGGCTTGGTTGCATGGCAGTGGAAGTAGTGTAAAATAATCATTCCTCCTTGCAGGAGCATCACTGAACCAATAGCTTCTAGCCTGAAGGATGATAATATGAATACTGGGAATGTTGTACAGCCATTAAGATGGACAGTTGTCTCTTTTATGGAACTAGCTTAGAAAAATAAACCTCTTCCTGCACCAATCTGCAGATTTTTTTTTTTAATAGAAATAGAGGTACAGATAATATGAAAAAAAAAAAAATCCAGGGTGGGATTTCTAATGACACCCAGTGCCAATCTAAATCTGCACTACTCAGATCAGCAGTAATAGTCTCACAGACACTGAAAGAAGTAGAGTTAGGCCACCAATGTGTGGTCTGCAAAAATTCAACTCATTAAAGGGATGCCTGCCCTGCAAGACACAGATGAAACTGTAGGGTACAGCACACATACTTGTGAATGCTTTTAACAGCCAAGGTCAGGTACTGGCAGCGAGACAGAATTCACCGTCGGCAGATACTTAAGCAGTAAGTACGCTGCTGGGTTCCATGCTGCTTCACGACTCTCATTAGAGCCAGAACCTGCTAGTTTAAAGGCTGTATTGAAACACAGGTAGTATCCAAAGTAAAAATCTCCAGCACTGCCTTTCAGCAATTTTTATGGAAAAATTATTCCAGCCTGTAAAACTGTGCAAGCCATTAGACAATATACGTAACAGTTACATAATATTTGTGGAAAATCAGACCACAAGATGGTATCAATTCACATATTTCTGACCTAATATTTTACTAATATGATATACTTTCGCTAAAGTAACTGGGTCAGATTTGTCAGTCTCAGTCTCTTATCTGCTATTTAACAAAAGTGATTGTCTCACCACAGCAAGTCAGTCAGTTACTCCAATAATTCTGTTTTAGGCAGGTTTAAAACTAGATCTCCTAATTGCTACAACTGTGATTTTGTCAAATCAATATGTTTGCCATCATTTAAAGGATGCAGATTTGCAAATAATTTCCACCTCCTAAAACCCCTGCTCATCTCCACTGTGGGTGGGAGAGAATAAAACACAAATCACAAAAACAAAACTATCAATATAAGAAAAAAAAGCAGATGCAGTAAAAGCATTTTATTTCTTTTGTTAGATTCTACAAGAAAAGTATAAATAGAACAATAAATAGTACAGTCATGCTGTTCTAAATGTATACTATGATCAGTTAAATAGCCTGTGAAATACTTTGGTGGATTTCTTCCCACCTGAATTTAAAACACAGTTTTACATCTGGGTCACCTGAAAAGGAAAACCTAGGCTTGAACATGAACACTCACAAAGAAAATTCAGTGGAAATCTAAATAAATTAAAAATGATGCGTTAGGAAGTTAGAGCACTGCACACTTTGAAACATGCACTTAAAAAAGCAGAAAAACTGCATGCATGAGTGTCTACATGCTAAAGACGTTTATACCTCTATTTCAGGAAATGCATACAATATGTGCTTTCAAAAGCTAACACATAAGATGCATTACTGGCAGAAAAGACAGTTCAACTGCAAATCCGAACATGTTTTACCATGTTTATTGGAAGAACGGCCAAAGCAGCTAAATCTGCTTTTCTTCTTTTCTTCCATTAAGTCAGCCAATGTAACCCCTTCGTGTTAAGTACATGTAATCCCAGCATTTACACAGTAGATGGCAGCAGTTGCAACGCAAAAAATAAAAAAGTGTCCATACACACAACACAAGCAATGTTAGGCAAAACAAATTGAAATTACCAGCAACATAATTAGAGCTAAATCCTTCACTTCTCACACTGATTTCTCCGTGTTGAACTAAATTCTCATCCCTTTGCAGTCAATGAAGTTTTTCAGTGATTTCAGGGGAAATAGAAGTTGGTTCATAATAAAGATAATACCTTATGACTTTTACTAGCAACAATTTTTGCAGTTCTAATGGTTAAAAGGTATTCTGTTGTTCAACAGCAGCAAGAAAAAAAATGTACAACTACATGGATTATACATATAAATGATTTAATGAAAACTGAGTTCTCTAGTTAGAACTTCTAAAATGCTGAAGACACAGGAAACTAAACTACATTTTAAAGGATCGTGTAAGAAGCTAATAATTATTGACTTAACTGCCTTTGAAATCTGTACCTTTTCCTGCTATGGTGAGAAGAAATCCTCTGTATCCTAAACCTAGAGCTCTTTCACATCATGAATTATCTTTCAGCAGCAGCAAGCTTGACTGTCCAGGGCTTCAGATATTCAAAACAGGGCCGTGGCTGTTAAGCAGCTGGCACCTGCCTATCTTTCCCGTCTTTGGACTCAGACCACCTACTTCATGCTTCAAAGACAGTTCAAAAAATACGTCAGTGGTGTATCAGGAGAAAAATTATTTCTTACGCTTACTGCACAAGCTTACTAATCTGGTGCTGGCTAGCTAAATTTCACCCAACTCCCAAACGTGAAGTTCATTATCGTAATCGTCCTCTTAATCCAAAAGCTTTCCGTGGAGTAACTGGATAGATAGCTTGTGCTCTCTCTCATCATACCTTCTCTTGCAATGTGATATGCAGCAGAGTACCATCTTGAATGCAAGCAAGTGGAGCAATTGAGCAACTCTTCCTCCTTTAAACCCTGTTGCAGGTCATATTAGAAACAAAATTCCAAACAACATTTTTAAGGACATGTGCACAAGCCCAGAGGCATGCTAGGAGACTGCCTATTCACTGGAAATTTCCAGTCAATATACATATATGTATGTTTGCTCAGAGCCAAGAGAATGCTGGCAGATCAATAGTTTACTGTAACAAACCAGTGAGCTTGTGCTAACCATATTTTGAAACCTTTACGACTCAGCCAAATCAGAACTGGTTTTTGCAAGACAACTGGAAGGTACAACTTACAGACCATTCCAGAAAATTACACGTGCTGTGTCCTGCTTCGTGCAGGAAAATAGATCTATCTTGCCCCAGAAACATCATCAAACCTTCGGTCTCAGCTGAGGATCTAGTATACTGACGCCTTTACCATCCTCATTTTTTGTTCACTTTTTTTCTTACAACAATACCTACAATGCCAGTAGAGCTGGGGAAGTATGACTCTCATGAGGTCTGCCATCTTTCTATATACTCTCCAAATCAACCAGTTGATAGTCAATGTATTAGGGCTTGGAAGATGTAACTACACACTAAATGTTCAGCAGAGTCTACTACACTGATAAAAAGGCCTCTTCTACTATTCCTTGGTATTTTTCATGTTAATAATTTGGCTTTGATATTGGATATTTAAAATAGAAGCAGTGATCCAAAATTTAATTACATATTTAATCCTTTAATTATATTTGCTTTAATTATATTATCTATCCTATTGTTACTCTGAAAGTCTCCTCTAACTTTAATTTACCCTAAAATAATATTTAACAATTTAGAACCAAAAGCTGTCTCAAGCTCAGCAACTATACAAACAAGTATTTTTGATTCAAGATAGACCTACATGAACTAGAAGCTGCTCAAGGAATGCTAGGGCAAATGGTTCTGTGGTAGCACATTTAACAAACACGCAGTATGGACAGAATGCAAAAAATCCACGGGATTACAGTAGCGAACTAGCAAACCAAGTCCATAACCACCACAAGTGACAATGCAGTTGTCTAACGCTTTGTCTGGTTCAACTTCAGCTACAGCCCTGTGTGGGTTTCTTGTACTTTTCAATCTTAGGATTTTACATGGACACTCAAAATCACAGCTTATGTGATTTCAAATAAAATCAATAACAAAATATAGTAAACTCCATGAAGTCTCTCGCTTTTTTGCTTTGTTCTAGATAAAAATTCTGCTTGAGACATGTATTTTTGATATAGATACAAATTATTATTCTTAGGGTGATGTTGGCACCAACATCAACCCACAGGTTGTCTTCCAGCCTCTCGTAACATGAATTTGTTTCCTGCCAGTCAGTGACACAGATTTTGACCCTATTTATATTGTGAACTAAGAGTGAATTTCTGAACCTTAAAACTACTAAGACTTTCAGTAACTTAACTAGATGCAATACAGAGCTAACTTTAAAAATAGATAGCTCAGTATCAAATCATGTAATTTTTACTACCTTTTGATATTTTTATTATGCCTTGAAATCACTTTTAATTAGAATATTGACTTGTAAATCAATGAAGTATAATCCTTATATTCAGTATCTTCAATACTCCATATTTAAAATTCTGAAAAAGTACTATGATTAAATGAACAGTTTATCACAATTAAGTAACATCACTAATACAATAAGAACAAAAATGATGAATTATTTTAGCAGAGAAAATAATATTCTAGTTTGCCTTTGATAAACTAATTGTAGACATATAAGCTTACCTATCCTTAGGTGGTATCTATCTGGATAGGTACCATTACCTTCTGGAATACCACCTGAATAACAAGATGCTATTCAACACAAGCATGCATACTGAAATCTGGACCTTAATCTTATGCTTAGTATTAAATCATAAAACACATCCTGAATCCATGTTATCATCCATATATAGCATTAAATAGTTCATATGAAAATTATAACCACTTTATGTAACACAACTAAAATGCTAAAATTCTTCTTTAGTTATATTATCATATTAAAATACTGCTGCTACTTGAAATTTCTGACATACAGAAATAAAATTGCAATACTGTGAAATTAATTTGTTCTTTTGTTTAGGACTGTTCAGAAGCACTAGAGGCCCATTATGGCATAAATTACCTTTCTCATAACACACTGCACACTACTGTCTAATAAATAAACTAACAGTAAGCAACAATGATATTTCTTACTGTTGAATAAAAGTCCCAAAAGGTTTCGGGTATTTCACATTCAATTAATACATCTAATTAAAATGACTTTATATAGTTTTCTTGAATATCAGAAAGAAGGAAAGATCCATAATATTATTTCCTTAATCAAAACTCATGACAATACTCTCTATTACCACAAGCTTATTTCTTGACTGGAGTTTAAAATGTATTTTTAAAGTATTTTTAATGTTTATTTTTTCTAATGTATGCATCTAGACAAATATATACTCTTCTTCACCAAGGAAAGTTCAGATTTGAGATGTCATTTAGTGGCCACGTAGCTTGTATGCAATAACTTTTTAGAGAGTAAGAATAAAGCTAAGTTTTTAATCTCAGTAGTGATTAAGTGCAGGCAATAATTTATACATGGATAACTCAGAGCAGAATTTAGCTGCAAGATTCTAAATGAACTTCCATGGCTGTAAGTACCAGTATATTAACAGATATGATTGCTCTGCTAACAAACACTTTTGCAATCTAAAAATCAGATAGGCCGCATTCTCCCCTAGTGTAATTTCCTTAAAAGCAGCCAAACTGTCCCCCATAGAAGTAGTACAGAGTAAAGAACACGTACTGTTCCGTTTGCCTTCTTCATCAACCTCTTCATCATTCTCAGGGTCAATGTCTTCTGCCTGTGTAATCCAATCTAAATATCCCTTCAGATCTTCTTCAAGCTGCTGCTTTTCACGTAGCTTCTGAAAGTCCCCTCGGGCCTTGGCTTTTTCTCTTTCCTTGGAAAATTCTCTACCAAATTCAGATAAAGCAGATAGAACACTGACTGTGAGACTGCCAGACATTTTGACCTGCGTCTTGACATTGCAGAATAACATACTGACACAGAAAATGAACTACAGAAACTACACAGAAGATTTGAGAGTTTGAGAACAAGACGGTGCAAAGCAGCCACAGCAAATTCCTCTCATATAAACATCAAAGGTTTCAAAGCTTTTACAATTTAATCGAAAATTAACCCGATTCTAGACTCTTCCCACACAGTTTATATGCCAGCATTTGGTTATGTGCTCTTCCAAATGATTTTAATATCGCTTTTGTCTGATGGCTATACAGAGAAACCGACTTGTAATGAAGTAATGAAATGAAGTAATTTCAGAGAACCTATGTTGAGCACTACTTTCAATGCAAAGGAGTTTCTGGCAGTCAGTTTTAAAACACTTCCTTCCTCTTCCAGCCATGGTTTATTGATCATGTCCAAAAATATCTACTTCAGTGCATAGCCCATGCAACTTCACTACTAAGTTCTTTCTTTATTATGTCATGCACAAACATCTGTGCAGGTTGAGAGCTCACGTTTTGCCCTTTCGCTCTCTATGACAAAATCCAAAAGTCATGGTGCTCACAGATCAGAAGGGTTTTTAAACATAAACTGAATGTCCTATCTGGTAGCCCACTTCAAGACAAATAAGGTGTTGGACTGTCTAGTTTAGCTTCGTGATTTGATTCATTCCCTAAATTATCATGGAATGATCTTTAAAATAATTAAGTCAAAATTTTTGAGCAAGAGGTTGGATAAAATGACCTCCTGAAGTCCCTTTTGACCTGAATTAACCATGAGTTTGTTTCTCGTAATTAGGTATGTCTCAAGACAATCATCAAGTAAATTCTTGCACTGTGACACTTCCTATCCAATCTATCTATACTTCATCTCTGCTGCTAACTTAATTTCTGAAATTTAATAGTGATTATTACATTATGTAGAAAATCGAAAAAATAAATAACTCAAGCCAACCAATAGCTGTAAAGGAAATTACTACCCCAATAATTTCACATCAGTGAAGTTCTTTTAATTTTCTTTTTTAATGATTGCAGAAAAGAAAGACTGATAACACTGTCTAAAGTTACAGAGAATGAATAAGCACTATGAAAATGGCCAGAAATTTTAGCAAGGTGAATACAATTATCAATATGATGTTGCACTGCTAACATGATGTAACAGAATAATGGAAAGTCTCATAATTTTTCAATATAATATTTCAGTTTGGTGGTAGAAATTACTTATCTGGAATGGCACACACATAATCTCTCTGAACTTTTTTTTTTAAATGTCTATCTTACTTGCAGCCTTCAAGCTGCAAGCTGTCCTCCAAACACTAAATTTCTGTTTTGACATTAGAAAATTTAAAAATTAAGTTTTTTTTGACATGCAACTATTCAGGATTTTTTTTAAATGTTATGTTGCAGAACCTAACAACCTTTATGCTGCAAAAGCTAAGAGGCAGATATTACATCTTTTCCAGTTGAGGATTTAATTCAACAAAAATTAGCTTTGGCATGTGGAGAAGTTAATCCTGTTTTATCTGATGGCACCTTAATGAAGCTGAAGAATACTGGTGCTTACGTTGTATTTGCTCCTCTTCACCTGGCATCCAAGGAGGAGGTCCTTCAAAAGGGCATTCCCTTTCACAGAAATGATTGTGAAAGACAGAGAGCTCAACAGATCTCTGTGACCTACTTAATTTTGAAAAATGAAAAAGTTTCATTGTTTTGGTATAATATGTCACAAGCCCTTAAGAAACTGTTTGCTTTATGGAATGCTGCTTTCAGACTTATCTCAAACACAGAGTATACCACGGACTGTCCTTTACATCAGACCAAGGCAACACCCTGCCTTTCCAGCCATAGGCAGTATCTTGGGGAGGGGGGCGGGAACCACACACACACACACACACACACACCACACAGCTATCATGGTGTACTATCAACTCAGAAATAATACTCCTTGCTAGCTCTTACTAAGTATTCCTGTTTTGTTCAATTAAATCCTTTTGGTTTTTTCGTTAGAGTGAACAATATATGATCTGTGTGGGTAAAGTAAAATGAAAGCTGCTGTTATTATATGGATCGAAGTAAAAGAAATCATTTAAAAATGAAACACTTAGCATGGCTGCTACTTCCAATAGCACTTCACCCATGATTGAACCCCCTTTTAATTTGGCTTTTTATTAAAATAGCTGCATGCAGCAAACTAAACACAGTTTTCTATATACACAACTAACTGCTACCTTTCTTTTTAATGCAGCAGAGAAGCCAGACATTTTCTCAGTTAAATTCTGCTGCAATTTATTTGTAGGGGAGATGTAGTCATGCTTACTTCCCCCAGTGTTTGCAAGTCTTACTTTTACTTTTAAAAGTAGACTTTATGTTAGGAATTATAACACGTCTGAGAAAACTGTATATTCAACTGTTCTTCATGGAAGGGAAGAACATGGCTCTACAGTATTTTCTTCTGTCACAGTAACAATAAAGTTTAAACATCTCTAAGACACATGTACATACACGTTCCTTTTACTGAAATACCATGAATGAATATATGAAAGTGGAATTAAATAGAATTGGAAATTAAACATTTTTCTGTTAGCAGAACAAAAGTATTTTTTCCAAGAAACAAGTAGTTAATTGAAAAAGGTGTTGGTGAGGTGAGGGAGAACTGTTGGCTCTTTAGTTCTAGACTCTGTGGCTGCGAATAAAGATATGCAGACAACTGCATTGGCTGTTCTCCTGGAAGCAGGAATAAAAGAGCTGCCTACGCAGCACTTTGTGGCTATGGAGAGCGTTAGCTGGGTCCAGGGAAGAAGAAAAAAGCTTTTGGCTATGTAGGCACCACAGATACTGACACAGTTAGACTAGTGGCCTAAACTGGCCTCCGTAACCATGATCAACCCAGTACTCAGTTCTCAAGCTTACAAAGCTGACAGACTTAAGAATCTGTACATTAATTGTGGTAAGTGGACTTAAGCTACGTAAATGTTTGGTTTCACAAGTACCTATGCTACAGGCTAATTTCAAAACAAGTATTTCATTCCGGTTTGACAAAGTCACCTAGATCTGATATTCCAGTGTGTACAGTTGGGGTTTTTGTTCATTGACTAAGCTGGAAAAACCTGTATTCAAAGCACCGTTGTAACTACGATAGCATTCACATGGGTCACTCCTCTAAAACATCATTTAAAGCAGTCTACACCCAAGTTGCTGTAAACTGGAAAACAATGAAGAGAAACTCAGAGTTGACAAACTAGTACTATGAAATGGAAAACTGGCCTATTGCCTGTAAAATTTCAGTTTAAAAATAAAGCTGATTTAAGTAGTTTTTAGAAAGGAGTCACCTAACATGGTTTTGTCCTAATTCCCACGATTAGAAAAAGCTAAACTTGCTATTGTTTCATATTTTTAAGAACAATATGCTTCAAAATTAAGACCTCTTAGGCTAGCAGGCCTAGAAAGAGCTTTTTGCAAATCTGTACTTTTACAGCGTCTTATAAAGCAGACCCGTATTATTTGTATAACAACACCTTTTAAAATTATCTCTGCCTCCATTAAGTATCTTTTTTTTTTCAAAATAGGCTATTTCTAGTCAGGTGCAGTCAAGTCAACTGAGCTTTTGCTTTCTTTGCAAATGCAATTCAATCAGCAGATCCAGTCCTAGCAAGCCTAAAATTGACATAGTTAAATATGACTAAAAGTTGTAACATATGACAATATCCTGTAATCTGAGAAAACCTTCAAATTTAGAAAGTCTGCATCTGCAGCAGAGAGGGGACATCGCTAGCAAAATAAAGCATTATATGTAGGTTCACCCACAAAATCTGACTTTTTTAGTGATAAATAAGTGATCATATAAAACATACATTTTATTTCTGTTGTCTGAAAATTCTTTGTCTCCTTGCAAAATAAGGATGTCAGTTCTCTATTTAGGTACAACGTCACCATCATCAATGGTTGTTGAGGCAGCAGCACATATATTGTAGCAGTGTGAGTTCATGCTTTGAAAGTCTCAGGCAATCATTTTCATACCAGTTCATTAAACAAGTAAAATAGCTCCTCCTGGTATGTGCTAGCAGGGAATAGCTTGATGCAACAGTGTGGAGGTAGCAGCCATGGGGTACCTACCAGGACTTGATTACAGCTCTTGCGTTCTCAGAGCTTAATTCAGGGGGAGGGTGATATCCTCACAAAAATCCCAAGAGGGCCATCTGGTTAAATGAGAATATCTGGTGTACAGCAATGTTCCATCTCCCTTCTCTCTGTAATTCATGGATATAACTAAGGAGACATCTACACTGGCCTCATACCAGCTGAAAATTCTTCCATGCTAAAGGCTAGACACTTTTCATAAGGGAGCCTGTGCAGCAACATGAGTGCTGCTATATCTCCTGTGCATCACTAGACAGTGATGATGGGAAACAGTTTCCTTAGACCTCTAAGTAAAAACCCAGACATTAACTCTTGGTTGGCCATATTACTGCCACTTTGTGTCACTGCAGAACATAAGCCAGAGGGAGAGAGAGAATTCACCTACTAGAGCATGTAACTTACTGTGCACAGGGCCTGCTGCTGGAAGGTTATGCTCACACTGTACGTAGAATCGTCACCCAGACATTCTAGACTCTCGTATATTCACAGAGTAACATAATGAAAATGTACTCACACAAATACATTATCGGCCACCAGATGTACAGAAGAGGTTTCACATAGCAGTAACCATACCAGGCAACAAATTAGCAGAATCAAATGAGAGTTCTCAAACTGCTTGAACTGCAGAGATAAGCATGGAGAACAGCTCACAGCTGGGCATAGTGCATACTACAGAGATATTGTATAGAGGCACACAAAAAATAAGTAATATTACATCTTTAATTACTATAGATTTATATACATTATTGTTACCTCTTCTATTAGAAGGAATAAAAAAAAAAATCATAACCTAAACACTGCTGAATTACTTCTAC